TCATATTTAAACCCATTGAGGACGTCATTAACCCGTGCATCAAATCCTACCATAATTTATGAACTCACCCATACTGTTGTGGCGGCGACATCTATATGCCCCACATATTTACAACGGATGGAGGAAATCATTACTCACCATCCTCAAGAGATGGCGTTACCTGCACTGCGATCATAATAGTATGGAAGCCTACATCGCGCAAATGAAATTCGAAGGCTAACTCTTCATATATACGATGCCCGACCAACATCAGTCGGACCGCGGCCCCCGAGCTACCATCACCCAGCTCGGAGGAAGATCTTCCCCTTTGGCCTTCTTACACTGTAAAACGTGTTTTCATTTAACCATTTACGAAGTTTTGACTTGAACTTATTAAAGGTTTGATTATAAATTTTAATTGCCATCGCCGGTGCATTTGTTTGAAATCGCTTTATTTTCGGAACTGTATCCATTTTTATTTTATTAGGATAGCTCAGTCTTTGATCTGTTACATCTTTAGCGACTGTATACAAATAGTGGTGCTGCTTTACAAAAGTGGCTACTTAAAGAATGTACAAAGAAGTCAACGTTAAAATTCTTTTACGTCCTTTAGGTCCTTAAAATATGTCCTACAAAAAACATTGAGACATAAAAATTCCATAAAATACAGTTTTTAAATTTTTGTTCTACGACAAATATTGGCGAAGTTATGACCGATTTATATGGCCCGCACTTGGGCTGTGACGTCAAAGAGCTCTAGCGCTCGGCTCGCTCTAGGTTTTCTTTGTGTGTTGGTTTGGTTAAACGCGCTTATCTCAAAAACTACTGGTCCGATTTGCAAAATTATTTTTTTGTTGATTAGTCCATTTATCGAGGAAGACTTAAGGCTTACTTATATAGCTTGACGCTACAACCAATTGAAGCGGAGCTACCGAAAAATGTTGCAAAAACGGGACAAAATATCCCTTTCGTGAACTTATATTCAGTGCTTTGAATAAAAAGTTAAAGTTACTCAAAAATCATGTATGACGGTATTGTTTCCCTTCAAAAGTTCAAAAAGTCCACGACAGCATAATTTTTTTTAGGGTTCCGTACCTAAAGGGTAAAAATGGGAGCTCATTACTAAGACTCCGCTGTCCGTCTGTCTGCCACTGGGCTGTATCTCATGAACCGTGATAGCTAGATAGTTGTAATTTTCATAACATACAACGACTAACAAGAAATGAAATAACACACTAAGTGTCGCCGCACACGGGCCACCGACGCAACCACAAAACGCCGCCACCCACCGTCATATTTCATGTAGTCTTCATACATTTTATATGGACTCGCCACACACGGTACGCCGGTGGCCGCCACACGCTACAAATCGTCGTCGCTCGCTTCTTGTGGCCCGCACCGACGTCTGTTAAGCTAGCATGGCAAAGTGAGCAGAATCGTTTAAAATAAAGTGCATCAATTAGTGCTTATATAGTGCTAATTTAGTGCCAAAACCGGAAATTTAATGCTCTCATAGTTTAGCGAAAAATTAGAACACTGCCAGCTTTTAATTAAGCTAGCAGTGTATTCCCTGAAACGCCTATATTAACGCGGTATAGAACTAAAGCAATGCATAGGGAATTTAGTGCTTAATTAGTGCTGGCAGTATCTGATGAAAATTTTGGAAAATAAAAAATATTTTATTTTTTATCAATAAAAACTGCTAGTTTGACAGTCTGAGCAAGTGACAGGGTTGAATACGTCACTCTGGATCGAAGATCTATGATAATCAACGGTTAATAATTTAGTGCTCAATGAGTGCTGCCAGTATGTGATAAAAAATTAGGATTTTTTTTTTATTTTTTATCAATATAAACTGCTAATATGACAGTCTGAGCAAGTGACTGGGTTGAATACATCACTCTGGATCGAAGATCTATGATAATCAACGGTTAATAATTTAGTGCTCAATGAGTGCTGCCAGTATGTGATAAAAAATTAGGATTTTTTTTTTAATTTTTTTATCAATATAAACTGCTAGTATGACAGTCTGAGCAAGTAACCGGGTTGAAAACATCACTCCGGATCGAATATGTATGATAATCAACGGTTAATAATTTAATGCTCAATGAGTGCTGGCAGTATGTGATAAAAAAATTAGAAAAAAACAAAATATTTTATTTTTTAGCAAATGAAACTGCTAGTATGACAGTCTGAGCAAGTCACCGGGTTGAATACATCACTCTGGATCGAAGATCTATGATAATCAACGGTTAATAATTTAGTGCTCAATGAGTGCTGCCAGTATGTGATAAAAAATAACGTAATTTTAATTTTTTTATCAATATAAACTGCTAGTATGACAGTCTGAGCAAGTGACAGGGTTGAATACATCACTCCGGATCGAATATGTATGATAATCAACGGTTAATAATTTAATGCTCAATGAGTGCTGGCAGTATTTGATAAAAAATTAGGATTTTTTTTTTTTATTTTTTATCAATATAAACTTCTAGTATGACAGTCTGAGCAAGTGGCCGGGTTGAATACATCACTCTGGATCGAAGATCTATGATAATCAACGGTTAATAATTTAGTGCTCAATGGGTGCTCTGTATAGAGTGATGTATTCAACCCTGTCACTTGCTCAGACTGTCATACTAGCAGTTTATATTGATAAAAAATTTAAAAAATTAAAATTTCGTTATTTTTTATCACATACTGGCAGCGCTCGTTGAGAACTGAATTATTAACCGTTGACTATCATAAATCTTCGATCAAGAGTGATGTATTCAACCCGATCACTTGCTCAGACTGTCAAACTAGCAGTTTTTATTAATAAAAAATAAAAAAATCCAAATGTTATATCACATACTGGCAGCACTCATTGAGCACAAAATTATTAACCGTTGACTATCATAAATCTTCGATCCAGAGTGATGTATTCAACCCGGTCACTTGCTCAGACTGTCATACTAGCAGTTTATATTGATAAGAAATTAAAAAAAAAAAAATATCGTAATTTTTTATCACATACTGTTAGCACTCATTGAGCACTAACTTATTAACCGTTGACTATCATAAATCTTCGATTCAGAGCGATGTATTCAACCCAGTCACTTGCTCAGACTGTCATACTAGCAGTTTATATTGATAAAAAATTAAAAAAAAAAATCCTAATTTTTTATCACATACTGGCAGCACTCATTGAGCACTAAATTATTAACCGTTGACTATCATAAATCTTCGATCCAGAGTGATGTATTCAACCCTGTCACTTGCTCAGACTCTCATACTAGCAGTTTATATTAATAATAAATTTAAAAAATTAAAATTTCGTTATTTTTTATCACATACTGGCAGCACTCATTGAGCACTAAATTCTTAACCGTTGATTATCATAGATCTTCGATCCAGAGTGTTGTATTCAACCCTGTCACTTGCTCAGACTGTCATACTAGCAGCTTATATTGATACAAAATTTAAAAAATTAAAATTTCGTTATTTTTTATCACATACTGGCAGCACTCATTGAGCACTAAATTATTAACCGTTGATTATCATAGATCTTCGATCCAGAGTGATGTATTCAACCCTGTCACTTGCTCAGACTGTCATACTAGCAGTTTATATTGATAAAACATTTAAAAAATTAAAATTTCGTTATTTTTTATCACATACTGGCAGCACTCATTGAGCACTAAATTATTAACCGTTGACTATCATAAATCTTCGATCCAGAGTGATGTATTCAACCCTGTCACTTGCTCAGACTGTCATACTAGCAGTTTATATTGATAATAAATTTAAAAAATTAAAATTTCGTTATTTTTTATCACATACTGGCAGCACTCATTGAGCACTAAATTCTTAACCGTTGATTATCATAGATCTTCGATCCAGAGTGTTGTATTCAACCCTGTCACTTGCTCAGACTGTCATACTAGCAGCTTATATTGATACAAAATTTAAAAAATTAAAATTTCGTTATTTTTTATCACATACTGGCAGCACTCATTGAGCACTAAATTATTAACCGTTGATTATCATAGATCTTCGATCCAGAGTGATGTATTCAACCCTGTCACTTGCTCAGACTGTCATACTAGCAGTTTTTATTGATAAAAAATAAAATATTTTTTATTTTCCAAAATTTTCATCAGATACTGCCAGCACTCATTAAGCACTAAATTCCCTATGCATTGCTTTAGTTCTATACCGCGTTAATATAGGCGTTTCAGGGAATACACTGCTAGCTTAATTAAAAGCTGGCAGTGTTCTAATTTTTCGCTAAACTATGAAAGCATTAAATTTCCGGTTTTGGCACTAAATTAGCACTAAATAAGCACTAATTGATGCACTTTATTTTAAACGATTCTGCTCACTTTGCCATGCTAGCTTAACAGACGTCCCGCACCGGCCACTTAATGCGCCGATACAAAACGCCGCCACACGTCACTCGCGCGATTCGCCACCCCTCTCTCCCTTGCCTTAGTCGGCCGCTGTCGCGCGCTTCAGCCACTTTAGTAGCCGCTTCTAGCTTCTCGTGACGGCGTTTGTGGCTGTGGCGTGTGGCCCGTGTGCGGCGACAATAAGTCGCATTTTTTTTTCAAAATAATTTCTTGTTACTCACCTACTTAATACAAGGTACCTGTGGCGGGTACCTTGTATTAAATCGGGGTCACTACTGTAGGAAGGGATATGAAGGGAAGATCTTCCTCCGAGCTGGATGATGGTAGCTCGGGGGCCACGGCCCGACTGATGTTGGTCGGGCATCGCATATATGAAGAGTTAGCCTTCGAATTTCATTTGCGCGATGTAGGCTTCCATACTATTATGATCGCAGTGCAGGTAACGCCATCTCTTGAGGATGGTGAGTAATGATTTCCTCCATCCGTTGTATATATGTGGGGCATATAGATATCGCCGCCACATACCTTTTGTCCAAATTTCATCATGCTAGGTTCGTAGGTTATGTTTGGACGCTGATAAGTCAGTCAGTTAGATTCTCTCTTTATATAACAATGTAGATATTTTTATAGAACCATGCAGCGCAGCGACCGCTGGCCCGAAGACTATGACCCTGACACGCCAAAGAGTCGGCCAACTTCTAGAAGGAACTCCGCGTCCCTCTCAAGAAGGAACAGCACAACCAAGAAGGAGAAAGAGTCTAAAAAGAAGTCACCTTTGAACACCACTCCTAGTTCCGTCCACTCCACGCCTAAGAAAACTGGTAAACCTCAAAATCTGGACTTTGTCGTCACTGGAAGGCAATGTTTAAAAAAGTAAGTTTGAACTTTTATAAAATCAACAACATATAGAATATACATATATTCTATATGTATACTGATAGATATTTAAGTATATTTATATAGAAATACATATTTAACATTCCATGACGAGGAGCTCGATGGCGCCAGTGGTTAGCGCGTTCGGCTGCGGTCGGTGAAGTTGAGCAACTTTCGCAGTGGTCGGTCATTGGATGGGTGACCAAAAAATTACTATCTCGAGCTCCTCCGTGCTTCGGAAGGCACGTTAAGCCGTTGGTCCCGGCTGCATCTGCAGTCGTTAGCACCCGCCAATCCGCACTGGGCCCGCGTGGTAGATCATGGCCCAATCTCCCTAAACCATCCATAGGGAAGGCCTGTGCCCCAGCAGTGGGGACATTAATAGGCTGATGATGATGATGATGATTCCATGACTGGAGTACAAATATTCGTATTCGTCACACAATCATTTCCGGGATTTGAACCCGGGACCTCTCGAGGAGGCGACACCTTGAAACCCGACCTGCATATCACTCGGCCACAATCGTCAAGACCATTCATCAGATTTGCAAAGAGTTAGCCCAGGGCTCAGCGGAGGAACGCAAGTGGTCCCAAGACATCTATCTAGCGAAATGGCTGGATACTAACTCCTTTTTTTACAGCAAAGTGGGCAAAGGTAGCTGGTGCAGAAGTTCTGGACTGCCACCTAAACCATCCTCACGTTGTCGGCCTGCAGGAATGCTTCTTCACGCCTCTTTTAAAGGACCTCAGATTTTCGGACACGTGCGCGGGCACAGAATAGGGGTGATGACGGGGTACAGTAAACGAAATTCTATTTAGTCCGTCAGTTACATGATCAAAAAATAATGGACACGTATTTTTTCTTTGGTCAATCAACCAAAAAATGACCAAGTTATAGCGCGTCAAAGTTTGGGAGTAGGGGCTCGTGACGTCACTTTTGGGAGAATTTTCACTTATAAGTGTACTCAAACGTGACGTCATGCGACTTTTCAAATCAATATATCTCTGCAATGTTTATATTATGTGAAAAAAGAAAAAATACGAGTCCAATACTTTTTGATAATCTACCTGATAAACGAAGAAAAAAAAAATAGTCATCATCCCTATTCCATTTGCGAATAGCACAACTCCTTCTTTAACAGTTATCTGTTCACCAGATCTGACCGCGCCAACTCCCTGCCAGGCTACAACCGTCGCCCCTCCACCGAGTCCTTGAAGACCAAGAAGCTGCACGAGTCTCCCAAGAAGGTGGCCGACGTATCCCAATCCTCGAAGAGCAGGGAAACTTCGCTGGAAGATGACATGTCTCTGGATTTGTCACAGGTATTAATGGCGCAAGTGGTTAGCGCGTTGGGCTGCGGTTGTTGAAGTTAATCAACTTTCGCAGTGTTCGGTCATTGGATGGGTGCCCAATTACATTTGGAGCTCTTCCATGCTACGGGAAGTAAGTTAAGCTGTTGGTCACGGCTGCATCTGCAGTCGTTAGCACCCACCGATCCGCACTAAGCTCGCGTGGTGAGCCATGAGCCCTTCCCCATATTCCATCCACCACAAAACGCCGCCACCGTCATATTTCTTGTAGTTTTCCTACATTTTATATGGACTCGCCACACACGGTACGCCGGTGGCCGCCACATGCTACAAATGGTCGTTGCTCGCTTCTTGTGGCTCGCACCGGTCACTTAATGCGCCGATACAAAACGCCGCCACACGTCACTCGCGCGATTCCCCACCCCTCTCTCCCTTACCTTAGTCGGCAGCTGTCGCGCGCTTCAGCCACTTTAGAAGCGGCTGCTTCTAGCTTCTTGTGGCGGCGTTTGTGGCTGTGGCGTGTGGCCCGTGTGCGGCGACATTAAATGCGATAGAAAAATTACTGAATAAATTCATTAGACGGATGAAATACAATTTTTATGAGGATGGCATGCGATCCGTGGCACACCGAAGAGAGTGTAGAGACTTGACCTTGCTTCACAAGGTGTCGCCGCACACGGACCACACGCCACAGCCACAAACGCCGCCACGAGAAGCTAGAAGCGGCTACTAAAGTGGCTGAAGCGCGCGACAGCGGCCGACTAAAGTAAGGGAGAGAGGGGTGGGGAATCGGGGACGTATGGCGGCGTTTTGTATCGGCGCATTAAGTGACCGGTGCGGGCCACAAGAAGCGAGCAACGACGACTTGTAGCGTATGGCGGCTACCGGCGTGCCGTGTGTGGCGAGTCCATATAAAATATATGAAAACTACAAGAAATATGCCGGTGGCGGCGTTTTGTGGTTGTGATCGGTAACCCGTGTGCAGCGACACAAGGTTATAAATGGTTATTTCGATTCCCCATATCTATTGAGCAAAATTTTGCTAAAATGTCCAAGAGCAAATCTACGAGCACGTGATACGTTTTGCGTTCAGGCGGGTCGGACTAATTATGCAAGTAATCGCTACATTGTATGAGTTATGAAATCATACAAATTACCTACATAACCTTGCTATTGTTGGTTAAATAAGTCCTCTTGTATTTAAAAAACATACACATACAAAAAAATATGTGTTAATGATGCGGTCAATTTTAGTAAGTGGGCTACGCCTGGAATTCATAAAAGTAGAAGAACACTTTATGAACTTTATAATGAACGAAACTCTAACACTAGTGAAAAATTTAAAGAGCATGTTCGTAACTATTCCAAATTGTTTAAAAAAGTATGCCGCTTAGCAAAATCAAATTACTTAAGTTCAAAGATTAAGAACAGTAATGACAAAATCAAAATGACATGGAATATTATAAACAATGAAACTGGAAAATCCAAAATTCGCAAAAATAATTATAACCTAAATATTGATAATAAAAAGGTTACATCAGATATTGAAGTTGCTAAAGTATTTGAAAATTTCTTTACTGATATTCCAGTTTCAACTACGAAATCTTTGAACTCTTCCCCCATTGCTGCCGAATCAATCTTAAGAGAAAACGTGAAACCTTGTACTACTTATTTTCATTTTAAACATATTGACTTTAAAGATGTAATAAAAACGTTTCACCAATTAAATAAAAAGAAAACCGCGGATCTGTGGGGATCATTTCCGTTGATGTTTCTAAATCGGTAATTGAGACAATAGCTCTTATTCTAGCTTGCATATTTAATGATTGTGTTGACTGTGGTATTTTTCCTGACCTCATGAAATACAGTAAAATTACTCCTTTGCATAAAACGGGAAGTACATCAGACCCCACAAACTTTAGACCAATTTCTGTACTACCCACGTTTAGTAAAATTTTCGAAAAAATCATGTTAGATCAAATGCAATCACATTTTAATAAATTCTTCACTGTAAAGAATTTGGTTTTACACGGGGTCGTTCAACAACCGATGCCGGTGTTGAACTCATACAACAAATTTTTGACGCCTGGGAGTACTCGCAGGACCCTCTAGGTGTGTTTTGCGACTTGTCCAAGGCTTTTGATTGCGTTTTTCGTGAAACATTACTCAGGAAACTCCACCACTATGGATTTAGAGATACTGATCTGGATCTTATTGCATCATACCTGAGGGATAGGATTCAGAGGGTTGACATTAATGGTAATAAGTCCCCGGGTTCGCCGGTTAAGATGGGTGTTCCGCAGGGCTCAATCCTAGGTCCTTTCTTATTTTTAATTTATATTAATGACTTACCTTACTATGTAAGAGATAACCATGAGATAGTATTGTTTGCGGATAATACATCACTTTTATTTAAACTCAAACGCAAGGAAAAAGTTATTGACGACGTGAACAATTGTATCTCTAAGGTAGTCCACTGGTTCAATGTTAACAATTTATTACTTAATGAAGGAAAAACGAAATGTATGAAATTTGTATTACCTAATGTAAAACAGGTAAAAACCAGTGTGAATGTAAAGGATAGGAATGTGGGCCTTGTAGGCACCACAGTATTCTTAGGGATAACTTTAGATTCTAAGCTTCAATGGGGCCCACATATTGATAAATTGTCAAATAGACTTAGCTCTGCAACATATGCCGTAATGAAGATACGCCAGTTAACGGATGTAGATGCGGCCAGATTAGTGAACTTTAGTTACTTCCATAGTGTAATGTCGTACGGAATTTTATTGTGGGGAAATGCCGCCGACATTCAAACTATTTTTGTGCTGCAGAAGAGAGCTATTCGATCAATTTATAATCCTAAAGCTAAAGAATCATTAAGAGATAAGTTTAAAGAATTTGGAATAATGACGGTCGCATCACAATACATATACGATTACTTGTAAGAAAAAATATTAATTTGTTTCTTAAAAACAGTGATGTTCACACAATTAATACATGAAACAAAAATAAACTAATTTTACCTGCTACTAGGCTTCACAAAATTAATAATTCATTTAAAGGTCTTTGTGTTCGCTTATACAATAAAGTCCCAAGCAATATCCAAGAGTTAGCCATAAATAAATTTAAAGATATTATAAAAAAAACACTTATTAAAAAAGCTTATTACAAAGTGTCTGATTATATTACAGACAAAAATGCTTGGGTTTGAACTGTTCCAATCATTCCAACAGGTTTTCTATATTAAATAAAATATAATTGTATTGACGTTGTAACAACATAATGATTTGTAAATGTTGTTACATTAGATTTTTAATGTTGTGGAGTTTTTTTCGCTCATTTTTCTCCGCAGCTAAAAAATATGCCCAAACAAGTGGTAGGGAAAAAAAATTTTTGTCGATTCAAAAGAGTTGTACTATACATCCAATTTGTTAAGTTTGTAGTAATATTATTTAATTTATCAAATTCATCCATAGATGGCGTTACTTTTATGTTTAATATTTTTCTATGCAAGTTCTGAATCACGGTATTTAGTTTGTTTTTCGAATACACTTAAGTTCAATATTATTTTGAAATAGACAACCTTTGCCACAGATTTTGGTGTTTTATTTATTTAAATAACTCACAGACTTTTTGAGATTTGAACATGGTCCTTCGTATTGCCGGATTAATCAAGGCACGAAGTTGATGTGTACAAGGCTATAGCAGTACTGATAGGGTAACGGATCGTTACCGAGAGTACTATCAGCGGATAAAGCAGTTGCTGCGGCAATTGGAGGGAGGGGAGCACCCCCTGAAGCATCCGAGGTTTGACATGAGTGGTGAAGAAATTGTGAGTACAAATTTAGACCTTATTTACTAGAAGTGCGAAACTTAGAAGAAATCAATATTAGTGCATGTGAATTTGCGGTAGTGTTGTTCGGACTTAGAATAATTTTAAGAAAAGTGATCCAACGGGGAACCTATGCCGGTTTTCAGAGCGAAGTGTTAAAGACTTAGAAAATTTTTAAGCAGTTTGGACTTAGAATAATTTCGGCAACTTTGGACTTAGAATATTTATGTTAATTTGACAAATTTATTTGTTCTTAAATATTTTATATTATTACATTGTGAACATAATTTCTCTGTTAAATTGTAATAATGGCCGAAAAGTATTTCAAACTTCAGGAAGATATTTCTAATAAAATTTATAAAATAAAAACTAACTTCAAAAAAAGTCCTAAAGAAAGAATTACTTTTTGTTATGTCGAAACTCGCTTAGAAACGTTAGAGCAGTGTTGGTCAAGATTTAATGACAACCATAATAAAATAGTTTTAGAATTAGATTCTGAAATATTGCAAGCTTCGACTTATCAAACAGTTGAGTTGTACGAACAAACCGAAGAAGCATACTGTGAATTCAAGTCATTGTTAAAGTCATTATTGTCAACATTTAAACCTAAGTCTGTTGAGGTACCCGGGGAATCTAAAGTCAATGAACAATCTGCTGTAAGTCTACCAAAGATTTCCGTGCCTAAATTTTCAGGCAAATATTCAGAATGGGTCAGCTTCCGTGATTTGTTTACATCCTTAATTCATAATAATTCAGGTATTGATAATGTTCAAAAACTTCACTATTTGAAAAGTTGTGTTACTGGTGAAGCAGAACAATTGTTGCGTTATATACCAGTCACGGCAGATAATTACGAAACTTGTTGGTCACAACTTGAGAGTCGTTATAATAATAAAAGGTATCTTGCAAATAATATTTTAAAGAAATTGACTACTCAAAAACCTTTACTTTCCGAAACTGCTAATGGTATTAAACAATTATTGGACAATACTAAAGATTGTTTATCGGCCTTAAAAAACATAGGTGTTGATATCAGTAGCTGGGACATTATTGTTATTTACCTTGTTAGCCAAAGGTTAGATCCTGAATCACGTAAACAATGGGAGCTAAAAATTAGTGACTCTATTCAAGATTTACCTAGTTTCAAACAATTTGAAGATTTTTTACAAAATCGATTCAGAGCTTTAGAATTTATAGATAACAGAGTTCAAAAGCCAGAAAAATCTAATTGTACTCACGTTGCCACAACACTAGTAACCTGTAATTTTTGTACTGAAAATCACAGATTAAATAATTGTAAAAAATTTGCTAAAGAAAATATTGACGCACGACGTAGCTTTGCCCAAGCAAATCATTTGTGTTTTAACTGTCTTGGTCTTAACCATTCTGTGTATCAATGTACATCATCAACAAGGTGCCGCTTATGTAAGAAAAAGCACCATACGTTGCTTCATCTCAGAAGTCCTAAATCAGTCACTGAAATAAGGACTGATCAGTCTGTGCATAGTGATGTCGGAGAAAACTCCGGTTTATCACAATCGCAGACTTGTGGCGAGGTTCAAATTTCCCCAGTAGTAGCTTCTTGTTTTACAAGCTCATTGGGGCAGGTTCTATTGGCTACTGCCTTAGTTAAGGTAGAGTCTCACAAATCGAACTCTACTTTTGTTTTAAGATCACTGCTAGACCAAGGGTCTCAAGCTTCATTCATCACTGAAGCAGCAGTCCAAATGATAGGGCTCAAGAAAATACCAGGCACTAGTTTGGTATCAGGTTTAGGCGGTGACCAAGCGACTTTGTCTTCAAAGTCGTCAGTATGGTTGAGAATTCAGTCCCGTTTAGACCCCAGCTTTACAGTTACTGTTAAAGCACATGTCTTGAGCAAACTTACGACCTTTCTACCGAGTAGTAAGGTTTATGTCCAAGTGTTACCAACACTTCCGTCCACTGAATTAGCAGATCCATTTTTCGGTACTCCGAATAAAATAGATCTACTTTTAGGCGCGGATGTATACAGCCAGATTTTATTGGAGGGTTTGATCAAGGATCCACTAGGTGCCGTTGTAGCCCAACGGACAACACTTGGTTGGATACTTTCTGGCTGTATACATCCGCGCCTAAAAGTAGATCTATTTTATTCGGAGTACCGAAAAATGGATCTGCTAATTCAGTGGACGGAAGTGTTGGTAACACTTGGACATAAACCTTACTACTCGGTAGAAAGGTCGTAAGTTTGCTCAAGACATGTGCTTTAACAGTAACTGTAAAGCTGGGGTCTAAACGGGACTGAATTCTCAACCATACTGACGACTTTGAAGACAAAGTCGCTTGGTCACCGCCTAAACCTGATACCAAACTAGTGCCTGGTATTTTCTTGAGCCCTATCATTTGGACTGCTGCTTCAGTGATGAATGAAGCTTGAGACCCTTGGTCTAGCAGTGATCTTAAAACAAAAGTAGAGTTCGATTTGTGAGACTCTACCTTAACTAAGGCAGTAGCCAATAGAACTGGATAAGGCTACCACAAAAATACGCATGGTGGTTGATGCTTCTTGTTGCGATTCTAATGGAGCATCACTTAATAGTGATTTAATGGTTGGTCCGACACTTCAACCAACATTACGACATTTGATCATGAGGTGGCGCTGTTATCCTATCGGGTTAGTAGCTGACATCGTAAAAATGTACAGACAGATAAGGGTAGCAGATGAAGACGTTGATTTTCAACTTTACTTACCTGTATTAAAATATGTCAGAATCAGCACTTTACTGAAGACATTCTTAATTTGGAGAAGTCAGGAAACTTACCTAAAAAAAGTAAACTCACTTCTTTGTGTCCATTTTTAGACAAAAACCAGATCCTTAGGGTTGGTGGAAGGATTCAGAAGGCTCAGCTCAGCGAAGATGCAAAACACCCTATAATTCTTCCCCATAAGTCACATTTGACAAATTTGATAGTCAAAGAAGCACACGATAAAACAATGCACGGTGGGCCTCAAGCAATGTTGAACTACTTGAGGAGCAAATATTGGATTATAGGTGCAAAGGATCTAGTTCGTAAGTTTGTTCATGAGTGTGTTGCTTGTATTCGTCAAAGAGCAGAAACAAGACAGCAACTTATGGGACAGTTACCTGTGGCGAGAGTAACTGCAAGTAGACCTTTCCTTAGTAGTGGTGTGGACTACGCCGGTCCAATCAGTGTCAGGACCACAAAGGGACGTGGTCACCACTCCACGAAAGGCTACATATGTTTATTTGTCTGTATGGCTACAAAAGCAATACACCTTGAAGTAGTAAGCGATATGACATCCCAAAGCTTTCTAGCAGCCTTTAAGCGTTTTGTTGCACGGCGAGGTCATGTCGCCAACCTATGGAGTGATAATGGCACTACCTTTGTGGGCAGTGCAAGAGAACTGAGAGAACTTTTTAGCGCGGAAAGATCTAGTTATACCTCAGAAATAGTGGATTGGATGGCTTCTAATGGTACAGAATGGCACTTCATCCCTCCCCATTCTCCAAATTTTGGAGGATTGTGGGAAGCGGGTGTTAAGTCAACGAAATACCACCTTAGACGGGTTATAGGCAATAGCACCCTCACATTTGAGGAAATGACAACAACTTTGTCACAAATTGAGGCGTGTCTTAATTCGAGACCGATTTGCCAAATCTCCAATCACCCTGAAGATCCAACTCCCTTAACACCAGGACATTTTTTGGTAGGAGAACCATTGGTTCTTGTTCCCGACTATAATTATGAACACGCCAATATCAACAGGCTGAAAAGATGGCACTTGTCACAGCGCATGATTCAGGACTTTTGGCGTAGGTGGTCTCACGAATATTTGACACAGATGCAGCACAGATACAAGTGGTCTGACCAAGCTAAAGAACCCGAAGTAGGCAGTGTTGTATTGGTCAAAGAGGATGATCTTCCACCATCCAGATGGCTCTATGGAGTTATTATTGAGAAACATCCGGGAACAGATAAACTTACGCGTGTTGTCTCGTTACGTTATAAGGGCAACGTCATTAAGCGTCCTGTTTCTAAATTAGTTATATTACCTAAGGATACTTAAAATAAGCAGACACTACTTCAGTGTCACATTGTTAATTGCATGTTAGTACTTAAGAAAACGTTAATATTGTCCAGTTTTTATATCTTATATTTAGGTTTGTATCAAGGTTCTAACACATTGTTGAACAATAATTAAGACGTCTATTTGTACATGTTGTTATGATAAATTGGTGATATTGAGAAGCATTTTCAGTTTTAAATTGTTTTCTTTCCACTGTTTATGGACTCGGTCCATGTCGGGCGGAATGTTAAGTTTGTAGTAATATTATTTAATTTATCAAATTCATCCATAGATGGCGTTACTTTTATGTTTAATATTTTTCTATGCAAGTTCTGAATCACGGTATTTAGTTTGTTTTTCGAATACACTTAAGTTCAATATTATTTTGAAATAGACAACCTTTGCCACAGATTTTGGTGTTTTATTTATTTAAATAACTCACAGACTTTTTGAGATTTGAACAAATTTGAATAAAGATATATTGATTTCTGATTTCTTGATACAACTATAAATATAGTCACATTGATATATTGAATCTTAATTCTTTGAATTCAAAAAACTTATTAAGAACTTGTTTTAAGCACATCATTTTTATTTTATCTTATATTCATTATAATGTCCAAAATTGTTATTTTCTCTCTCATTTTTATTAGACACTACGTGAGATAAATAATAGTGAAAAAACCCTTTGGCAATTTATTAACTTAATGTTTTTTTGTGTAATTAAATGCTGTTATTTCCCTAATAATAAATAAATAAATGCATGGTTTAAAATAGCATTTTGCTTTCCAGGTATCGGATTTTGAAGACAACCATTCTAAATATGGTATTAAGCAAAAGTTCACCGCTCTCGCCACGTCCACACCCAAGCCTGGATCTAAAGCTAAGCCCAGGAGCTGTTCCTTGCAGAGTCAGATGCATACCAGCAGGTTGGAGAATTCTAAGAGACTTCTCTCCTTCGAGTCCAAGAGTAAAAGCAGCCAGGAGAGTAACAACAGCTTGTACAAGACGTCCTCTTCAGCCAGCAATTATAAGTATGACATTTTTCTTAATAGCACTATAAGAAATAACAAATGAAACTCATCGCTAAATACTGCTTTTTTTAATAATTCATGACCATGGATACAAGTCCTTCAGTCGTATACATAAATACAAATCTTAATTTTCTTGGTTGCTTTCCAATTACAGCATTATAGCGCATTATGCGGCATAATGCTCAACGTTGAGTGTTCCAACTACAGCAACTACTTCGCACAATTGAGCACTCTCAAAAGTGATGCCCTGGCGGTATCAAAGATCATCAGCCTATTAATGTCCCCACTGCTGGGGCACAGGCCTTCCCAAGGATGGAATAGGGAGATTGGGCCATGGCCCACGGCCCAGTGTGGATTTGTGGGTGCTAACGACTGCAGATGCAGTTGGGACCAACGGCTTAACGTGCCTTCCGAAGCACGGAGGAGCTCGAAATAGTAATTTTTGGTCACCCATCCAATGACCGACCACTGCGAAAGTTGCTTATCTTCAATGATCGCAGCCGAACGCGCTAACCACTTGCGCCATCGAGCTCCTCAAAGATATGGGTATAAAATGAAAGGGATGGCAGTTTGGTTAGAATGCGAACAAACTAACGTATGCGTTCAATTGTCTTCTTTTTAAAGCGTTTGATTTGTATGAAAAACTTGTTTTGTATAAATGATTTATAGTTATATATTTTTTTTTAAAGCATGTAACTGCTTGATGTTTAAATCTAAAGAAAATATAACTAGAAAAAAATCCACGCGGACCAGGCAGCAGACGGGACTCGAACCCGAACCCTTCGCAATCCGGGCGAATGCACTGACTAATTATGCTACCGCGTCCCTCACGGACCGCGTCGAAATTCCTCTAGCAATTCTTAAGCTGCAAGGCAGCGCCATCTCTTCGCATTATAGGTAACCCTAGGGTAATAATTGGTCAGTGCATTCGTCCGGATTGCGAAGGGTGCGGGTTCGAGTCCCGTCTGCTGCCTGGTCCGCGTGGATTTTTTTCTAGTTATATTTTCTTTAAAATGATTTATATTTATTTCCGTCTCTTTTGAGCAGGCACGGCGTGAGCACAGAGCTGGACTACTCCTCTGTGTCTCCGGAATACTCAGGGCAGTCGTCGGCCGACCTGTCCCCGAGGGTCTCCAGGCAGCAGGACCTGGTGCAATCACCACGCACCATAGAACAAAACCTATCCAGGTAGTCAACAATAACTTACCCTAACTAGCTAAATGAGGAAGTCGATGACGCAAGTCTTCGAAGGCAAACGAGCGGACGTGCCATCTGATGTTAAGTGGTCACCGTCTCATGGAAATCAGTAATGCCAGTGAGACAGCTATGCCTTAGTCTTAGTAGAACGGCGGGCTGTTTCCGCAACTCGACACCCAGTGCCTATTTTGCGTGGGGATTGACACAGCTATGCCGCTACCTTTCGTGGAACAATCCATTTAAACCTTTCGTGAAGAGGACCATGAAGACTGAGGGAAGACTGTTAAGGGAAGCTCATTCCATAATTTTATTGTCCGTGGAATAAAAGTTCCGTCCAGTATTGGCAATGCTACAAGCTACAATGCACCTCAATCCATTGCGATAACCGACAAGGTTACTCTGCAGTGAATTAAAGGACACGGCAACTCAATTGGACACGATGCAGCAGACGAACTGGCTAAGAGAGGAGCAGAAACTAAATTTGTATTGGCCGGAACACTTGCTGCCCATACCTCAGGCCCAAATTACAACGTGGCTGCGTGAAGGAACTCTGAAAACTCACTTGACAGAGAGGAAAACAGGTAAAAGATGCCGACAAACAAAGATCGCAGTTCTGGTGGCTAACAAGAGATTTGCCCGCACCCTAACCAGACCAAACTCCGCATGATAACAGGAACCCTGACTGGTCATGTGGCGGCAACATCTATATGCCCCACATATATACAACGGATGGAGGAAATCATTACTCACCATCCTCAAGAGATGGCGTTACCTGCACTGCGATCTGAATAGTATGGAAGCCTACATCGCGCAAATGAAATTCGGAGGCTAACTCTTCATATATACGATGCCCGACTAACATCAGTCGGGCCGCGGCCCCCGAGCTAACATCACCCAGCTCGGAGGAAGATCTTCCCCTTTGGCCTACCTACAGTCATTGTCCCCTAAACAAACATTTATACACAATAGGAGTAACAGATAGCTCCATGTGCAGAGGTTGTATGGAGGCAGAATGGATGTCATCATGGAATGCAGGAGTGTGTATGAAATGGATATATGCGTCACGAGAGTCATATGACTATTTATATAAATATATGTGAGGGGGGGGATGCGTGCGCAACTCTTGCCGACGAGCATGAAAGTTGGGGGGTAACTCGGCGAAGGCTGAAACGCTACGAGCGTTACACACGATAATATATCGTCTATCGGAGACAGTACCGGAACATCTCCGAGAGGTTTTGAGTTAATTAGAGAATTCAAAGAATTCAAAAACTATGAAGTTGAATTCTTTAATCTATATATAGGGTGAAATTGAATGTTTCTATGAAACTTCGTGAGATTGTTGGGTTATGTGTATAGAGTATGCCTGTCTTTTTTCGGATTTTTTTGAAGTAAATTTTTTTCATGTATTTATTTATAATTTGTGTATTTTTATGTCCTTTCCTCGTTTTGAGTAGTTATTCATTTTAAACAAACAAACTTACATATCCAGTGAAAAACAACTAATAAATAAGCACTTCTAAAAAACGGAAAAACATTGAAATTCCACCGCGGGTCAACGACCGACCGCGCCCGCCAGCCGTTGAGTAAGTAGCTACCTAACTCTAACCAGAGCTCAACTGACTCGTTTGATTCCACACAATAGGTACAATAAAATCGTCTTAGATGCCTTTATTGAAATTGAAATAATAAGCACAAATGTCATCTTTTCTTAAGCAGAGAAAAACTTTAAAAGTTAATAATAATTTTGTCACGATTGGAAATAGGCAAATGTTAAACAAAAAGAAATACTTATTGCTTAATACCCCAAGAATGAAATTTATAACCAGGTATTCAAAAGTACTTACGAGACCGGCGATTTAGGTAGGTACAACGAGGAACGAGGAACATATTCATTTTTTTCACTAGAACTTTTTATCAAATCAATCACACTGGTAGTACACAATTAGTTGTTTCTAATCAAAAAGTTTTTACACTAGCAATAAAAAGAGACTTAAATTATTATCTGCAAAATTGTTGCTCTAAACCACCATTTTGCTGCAAACAAAGGTTGCCTGTTTGCGGACGTGTCTTTTCACCTTTTTTAAAGTGTCCCTATCACTACTCACTGCACAAAATGCAACTTCTATGGTTTAGGGACTAATTCGTAAACCAAACCTACTTCGTCACACTCGCGATAGCAGTACACCATCTCTAAATATTCTTGGTTTGTATACCGAGGCATAATGAAATTATCACAGTGTATATTTTTTTTTTTCTATAATTGACATTATTAATCGACTATCTTATATACATAATACATAAATTATATACATAAATTAAGACAGTTGTAATTTTGATGACGATAATATAATGTAATTCGCTTTTAAGAATTTATTAATGGTATGTGAAATTGACGGCATAATGATTGTTAATGATATTGATGTAATTAATGCAGTGTTGGATATTTGCATGCTATTGTAAATGGCAGAATGGGCCGAACTTCATATTTGTGACATCTCCAGTGTACCCCTATTCTTATGCAAATAAATAAATTCTAATTCTAATTCTATGTCACCAAGTCAAAAGATGCGCACGCTCACGCGCGATTAATATACTTGCGACTGCGTTTTGCATGCAATCAAAGCAAACGTCCGCGTGCGGGGAAGAGGGGAGGTGGGCGGAATTCACATCATCAAAGACGCCGCAACCGGCGCTAGTTGCCAGCGTGCGGCGCGCCGCCCGCCCGTGCTTGCCGCAAAACAACATATTATTATGTGTGTGTGTGTGTATGTGTGACTGTGGCTGTGATTAAATGTGTTCGGAATTTCATGACGTGGGCAAATCAGACACGAAGAGTTCCTTCCTTCCCTAAGCTCGTAAGTTATTACCGATTATTACCGATTTGCTCTTAATTTTAAGAAGATTTATATTATTGATTAATTACCTGTGCTTTATGAAATAATATTCAAAGGTATTGTGTATCAGTGAATAAATAATTATAATATAGCATCTAAGACTATTTTATTGTATTGTTTTTAAATAGTGTGGATCAAAGCGAGTAGGTAAGCGCCGAGTCATCTGTGCGTGTAGTTAGGTACCTACAGGCGGCCGCCGGCCGACCGGCGCTGATCTCGACTGTAGGCATAATGAAGGCATTCATTAAGTTTCCGTTTTTTTATTAGTGCTTATTTTAAGTTGCTTTATAACTTCTATGTACACGTGTTTAAAATGAATAATTACTCATAAGGAAGAAATGACAAAAAAATAACCAAATAAAAAATTAAAAAACGAAAAAAATTATTTTAAAAAATCCGAAAAAAATCAGGCATACTCTATACATGTAACCCATCAATCTCACGAAGTTTCATAGAAACATTCAATTTCACCCTGTATATAAAACTCAAAGGGGTGACTGACTGACAGACATAATGATCTATCAACGCACAGCCCAAACCACTGGCCGGATCGGGCTGAAATTTGGCATGCAGGTAGATGTTATGACGCAGGCATCCTCTAAGAAAGAATTTTGATCAATTCTACCCCCAAGGGGATAAAATAGGGAATGAAAGTTTGTATGAAACTTTGTCAATTTTAAACCGATCGGGCTGAAACTTTGCATGCAGGTATAAGAAGAATCATAAATGAATGTCATTGTGTATAATACAAGCCTGAGAATAAAAACTGTAGTCTACAATTCAGCTCAACACCGAAGCGAAGCGAGGGCGGGCCGCCAGTAAACTCTAAAACCTCAAATTTCGGAGATGTTCCGGTACTGTCTCCGATAGACGATATATATAATATCTATATGAGTGATGCGTACGCTGCTCCATTCCCCTATGCCTTATGCACCGCCTACTGTTAGGTTATTTAAGAAAAGAAGTTTCACCTCAGATATGTGCTCCGTGCACACTATTTTTTTTATGAATTTTTCGACGTTTCGCGTCCTTTCCAGGCAGCGTCGCCAGAATTATTATTTTTATTCACTTTGTCGAGCTTCGGTTATTCTATGATTTTATTTTATTTTTTAAGCATTTAACTGCTAGATGTTTAAATCTAAAGAAAAGTTTACTAGAAAAAAATGCACGCGGACCAGGCAGCGGACGGGACTCGAACCCGCATCCTTCGCTATCCGGGCGAATGCACTAATTCTACTTCGGTTATTCTAGTTCTTCCAGCTGTACCCTACCTCAGCTAAGCATAAAATATATGGGTTTCCATCAGTTGTTGCAGTTGGCAGGATTGCAGCGAGATGGAGCGGACCGCGATGGGTGACCGCGATGGTGAATGGTCCAGCTTCTGGGCCAACTACAACAACTCTTTGTCTAAGGTAATCTAATTTATTTATAAACTTGCTTATTACAGGCACGTAAGTCTAGCGCTGAACAAAACGCTGGGGGGATAGCTGCGCATGGGTACGACTGGAGTAGTGTTGCCGATTTTCAGGGGTCTGCGGACCCGTCCCGATTTGTACCTGATCGGAACGCTAAATGTCCCGTTTAATCAATAAATGAAAGGACATGGCTAAGAAACTGCCCTTAACGTGTATAATTATTTCGTACAAGCCCAAAACATTATAATAATATTTTATTAATTTTAACGTGTTTATTATTCTCAGGCAACTTTCGTGAAATAATCAAATTATAAAAGTATAAAAATTTACTTCATGTCTGTTTCAAAAGGAAAATGTTCCGTTTTACAAAAATAAATGAACAATAAATGTGCACAAAAAAATATTTGTGCAAAGTATATCGAGATAAACAATATTAATTCCAAACTCCTAAAAACTGTGACATATTTGACCTTAATTTTTATTACAACAAATCACTGAAGGCCTAAAATATTAGATTTTATTTTTCTTTTCAGGTTATAGACATGGCTGTATGATAATTAATCCTTTGATTTGTGCAAACGAATGAAATAAAACTTCACAGATTTCCTGTCAGGCCCACGACAGCAGATTATTTGTATTTATTTTTGCTTTTAAAAATTCTTTTTGTGAAGTGTTAATCAGAGAAATGGGAGGAAAGATTCTAAGAAAATGCGAAATTGATGGCTCTGTAAATAATTGGCACAATCTTTTATCAAAGGTAACAATGATGACGTAATAGGAATTTTCATAATTTTCATGATTTTGACTTTATCAAAAGTTCCTGAGCATTTTTTCATTGTAATTATAAATAATCAGCCATTCAGCATTAAATGTTACTCAGTACAATAGTTAAACATTGCTAGGGCAGTCTCTCATACAAAATTTTACCATGTCCTTTAGGTAATTAATATAAAACTTTACTTGCACTAGTAGTTTAAAACGCAATAAATTAAACCCGGATTTAAAAACCCCTTGTTTTTTGTTTACTGTCCCGATCTGCAACCCTAAGTCCCGATTTTTTTGACCTCATGTACCGAATTAAAACAAATCGGACCTGGCAACACTAGACTGGAGAGCGGCGGAGAGTTTTTGGCGGGATTTCATCGAGTGCGGTTGGCGTCTTATTTTAATTATTCTTAAATTCGTTCATAGTGGATATTGTGAAATAAAATTGGTGTGGTTTTGTGTAACAGCCGTCTGAGTAACTGAAGAATTATTGGAATCGTTAAAATATACGCTATTCCGGTCAAGTGGACGTGAGAATTTTATTGTAGTGTTGACTACCTCACAGAAGCTTATCGAAAAAGCCAACTCGATACATTTCGTGCCAAACACTCCAAGAAACATTAGAATGCGTCACACCGACATTCTAATGTAAAAACAAAAAGAAGATTAATTTAATTAAAGACCAGGCTTTATGGGTATTGTTCCCTTTGCCTTCCCTTAAACGGGAGAACTCCAACAAAAAAAAAAGTGCCAATCGGCGCATCGCACCACCCACCCACACACCTCGTTTCCCCCAATACATCTTCATTTATACGCGTGCGCTATAGCAGTCCAAGCTAGAGTTTCGTGCTGCGACTTATACCAGCTATTAAGTTAATCTGAAGAGAAAATATGGGCATGTGAACTCTTCAGTAGCTCTTGTTCAAATGACTAAAAGTCGTAGCCTATTGTTGATTTTTGAAGTTATACTTCTTTAGGCGCGTTATGAAAAAAGGATAAGAGTGAAATTTTAAGAAGCATGGTCGCTAAAGCGACCAACTTCATGCGTTACTTTTGTGTTTACCGCACATTAAGAAAATCTACCAACAAAATAGAAATAGAATCTCTATTTAGTGGGCGCTAACGATTGCATTGTGAAGGCCTATCAAAAGTATTTATTAATCTGGAACAACGGAACCAAAGCGCGATTCAGGAGACTACAGCGCCATCTCTTGACCATTGGTGTAGTAGAACCAAAAACCAAATCTTTATTTTTTGTAATAAAGTAACAGTTATAGGTATTCATATTTATAATATCAAAAGTATTTATTAATCTGGAACAACGGAACCAAAGCGCGATTCAGGAGACTACAGCGCCATCTCTTGACCATTGGTGTAGTAGAACCAAAAACCACATAAGTACACGCACCCATTTTTTTTACTGCCATAGATGTGCGACCTTATATACATATATAAAGGGCTCAGCAAGCAAGGTCGTCGCCAGCTTAAGACTTAGGAGGGAGGCAATTTTCAATAGAATAGGTAAGAAAGTCAATTGCTCCACTTTGGTCGCTGGCCCCCATTGGCGACGCCCAGGGGATAACTAATCAGAGATTAAATCTAAAGAAAATTTTACTAGAAAAAATCCACGCGGTCCAGGCAGTAGACGGGACTCCAATAGGCTTGCCAGATGGTCGGCAAATCCGGGATTGGCCCAGAATTTTGCGTCTTATTCCGTGTCCAGTAATTAGACCTTATTGCCACGGAACCCCCGAATTCACTTCACATTATTACTAGAATCATACCCACGTTGACGACCTCCGTGGCCGAGTGGTTTACACGCCGGGTTTCATGGTGTCGCCTACTCGAGAGGTCCCGGGTTCAAATCCCGGTGGGGGCAGATGTTTGTGTGATGAATACGAGCATTTGTACTCCAGTCATGGATGTTTAATATGTATTTCTATATAAATATTCTTATATATGTACAATATATGTATTCTATCCGTTACCCTAGTATCCCATAATACAAGCCTTACAGTGCTTACTTTGGGGCTAGGCTAATTGGTGTGAGTGTTCGAAATATTTATTTATTTATTTTATTCAGGGGGCTCAGGTACGGCTGCTGTACTTCATAGGGTGCAAAGGTGGCTTATCTTATTTTGCCGCGCGCGAGTAAATCCCAAAATCTCCGTTTGGGCTCCCCGAATATTCTGTCTATCTATACTATGCTACCTATGAGGATCTCGATGGCGCGGGTGGTTAGCGCGTTCGGCTACGATCGTTGAAGTTAAGCAACTTTCGCAATAGTCGGTCATTGGATGGGTGACCAAAAATCTTCTATCTTGAGTTTTGAGTTCCTCCGCGCTTCGGAAGGCACGTTGGGTCGTTGGTCCCGCACCGTAGCACCCGCCAATCCGCACTTGGTCCGCGTGGTGGGTCATGGCACTATCTCCCTATTCCATCCATAGGGAAGGCCTGTGCCCCACCATACTATGCTACAAGCCTCAGTACCACGAACCAATATCAAATCTGAATAGTATACGAGTGCGAAATGTCATTGTCAAAATTTTGTATGAAAACTGGAACAGCAGCGTCACAACGGACATAACGAGAACTAAAAATCAGTACACATTTAACAGTGAAATTTCGCAGTCACGGACTAGTCAAATTACATGTTGGTTCATGTTAAGGGTACTGAACAGAAACCCGCAGCTTTCACGAATCGAAACGAAGACAGTCCTAGCATTGTAAATAATATTTTGCACCAATTATTTTGCGCAAAACAAAACTAATCAGTGATTAAATCTTAAGAAGATTTTACTAGAAAAAATCCACGCGGTCCAGACAGTAGACGGGACTCCAATAGGCTTGCCAGATGGTCGGCAAATCCGGGATTGGCCCAGAATTTTGCGTCTGCTCCCGTGTCCAGTAATTAGACCTTATTGCCACGGAACCCCCGAATTCACTTCACATTATTACTAGAATCATACCCACGTTCATACATCAGGGACACAGTTGCGCGGCGCGCGGGGCGTGGAGAGAGCAGTCGCCGACTGCCTCGACCGAAGGCATGGCAGTAATGGCAGCAGCGAAATAGTAAAATAATAGCGTTGTACTGCATTGCACGCACAGACTGACTACGCTACGCAATCTTATTATTATTTAGATAATAATAAGAATTATAAAACGAATCGAAAAAGGAGAAAATTTAAAAAAGTTAGCAATTTGTTATAGTGCCTACATTAAATGATTAAACATTGATTATAAAATCAAACCTATCCTTCATTATTTACCCCAGTATCCTTGAATCAGTTTACATTTAATAACTTACTATGCATAAATATTCATTGGCACAAGTCTAAATTCCAAGTTCAACCCTAGCGCATACACGCTCCTGCTCAAGGTCACTGACGCTGGAACTCTCACGTACAGAGAGTGTCACCGCTGTGTCAGGGATGTATTTGGGATTGGGCTGCGAGGGGCGACAAAAGCTATGGTTTCTTTATACATAAAGGGTTTTAATTCTGAGCGGGGGGCGGTGCAAATATCCAGGAATTGATCGGCAGAAGTCATATAAATGCATTCGGTTCTGACCTATATTTTGATTTGTTTTATTTCTGAGTGGATTCCCGGAATTGATCATTAAGCCAGCATCTGGAAACCCTAGACTCCAACCAGCATCCTCCTCCGATATCCGGGCTAATGCACTGAACATAATGCTACCGTGGCTTATAAAAAATAAAAATATAACTTAAATAGCTATTTCTTCTTTCAAAATGTTTAATACTTGTAAAGGTATTCATAAAATTTTTGTGCAATGAATCGTGATTTGTGAACAAGAACAAAATGGCGGGCCGACGCCTTGTTCGAGTAATCGGTCATAGTAAGGAAAATCGTCTTATTGTTGAAGTCCACTGTTGCCATCAAGTTTGACAGAGTTGCCGCATTCGATACATCAGATTGCCGTATTTTAAATAAATATCATGATTTTGCCGTATTACCTAATATTACTACAATTTTATACGATATTTTGTTGAAATCGTAAAGAACTCATAACATTATCCTTGTAAATCGATTCAAAACAAAATTGGATTGCCGTATATTATTATACGGCAATGACAAACCTGCCGTATAATATGAAATTATGAGCTTAATTTGCCGTATCAATGGCAACGCTGCTTACGCCAAACAAAATGATTGTGGGTTACCAACAACACGAAGAGATGGCGGTGCCTTGCAGCTTAGGTAATACTTGAGAAAATTCGACAAGGCCATTAAGGCCGCGGTAGCATAATTGGTTAGTTGGCATTCGCAGGGCGAAGGGCGAAGGGTTCGAGTCCCGTCTGCTGCCTGGTCCGCGTGGAATTTCTTCTAGTACCTAAAATTTTCTTTACATTTAAACATCTAGCAGTTAAATGCTTAAAAAAGTGTGTTTGTCTCGGAATGCACGACACAAGTGATAACTTAAACTTATCTAAGCGGCGCTGCTGGTTACAGGGAGAGGGGAAGAGCCTGCCTACCGCGGCTTATGTGTCAGAGGAAGGGAAACCAGACAGTCCGGCGCCGTAACGCGTTACGTAACGAAGCGGAACTTACGGGAGGGATAAATAAGTTATCACTTCAAAAATAGAAATATAACAAAATGATCCCAATTGTACTTAACATTAATTTCGATTGTTATCACAGGTACCCGTGAAGAATTACTACGACCAGTGCCCCACACCGTACCGCACGGAGAATTTCGACCTGGCGGATCTTGGTAATGCTTCTGGTATGCCACCTTTCCACCATCAGCCTATTACCTAATATATATATATATATATATATTATAGCTAGGTAGGCAAATGACTCTACCCAACCTGATGATAAGTGGTAAAGTCCAAACGCGAAGATAGCTGGTACAGCAGTTATAAACTGCCACACTAAACATCCTCAAAAATGCTTCTTCACGCCTCTCTTAAAGGACCCCAGATTGTAGGAAGGTGGGAACACGTGCGCGGGCAAAGAATTCCACTTACAAATTATATATACGACCTCCGTGGCCGAGTGGTTTGTACGCCGCGTTTCATGGTGTCGCCGACTCGAGAGGTCCCGGGTTCGAATCCCGGTGGGGGCAAAAGTATGTGTGATGAATACGAGCATTTGTACTCCAGCCATGGATGTTTCATATGTATTTCTATATAAATATACTTATATATGTACAATATATGTATTCTATCCATTACCCTAGTATCCCATAATACAAGCCTTACAGTGCTTACTTCGGGGCTAGGCTAATTGGTGTGAGTGTTGGTAATATTTATTTATTTATTTATATACGAGTATATATTTGTTTCTTAGGTTTTCACGCACACCACTAATTAAATAAAACAAGTTTCAGCGGGTTAGATGCACTAGATTTATTTATTAATTGATGTTTCGCATCCTTTGCAAGAAAGCGTCGTCAGTCATAAAATGATTTTTTATTTACTTTGTCGAGCTACCTACGCGTTCATCGAACCCTAAATAAAAGTCTTTCGAAGGTAGCTCGACAAAGTAAATAAACGCACGCAAAGCACTTATACTTTAATCATTAAACTTCTCGATTTTCATATCTGAAGAAAATATTACTAGGAGGGTAAAATTTACAAACTCCTTTCGGTCAAAGAACTTATCGGAGAGGATTTGAGCTAGGCTTGTTGAAAATATATCGATGTATCGATATATCGATATTTTTTGCCGTTATATTTTGATTCGATATATCGATGCATCGATACAAAATAACCAATATCGAAATTCGTATCAAAAACGATATTTTTTTAATTATTAGCGGCATATCACGATCTAACTAAATTCGTATCTGGAAAAATCGTAACTGGATCTCAGATTAATGATATTCAACATATCTATGATCTGTGCTGTATTTAGTATTGTCTATGTCATCATTCGAAAATAGGGTCTATTTTTATTAGGGAGATAATTTTCGTTCCATTATTATTCCGCGTGTCATATTTCGTGAGCTATTGTACGATATTTTTGGAAAACTTGGTCCGATATATCGATTATCGATGTTTTTTCGCGATATATCGAAGCCGATATTGATATTTTTTAAAAGATCGATGTATCGATATATCGATATTTTTTTCAACTTTCGACATCCCTAATTTGAGCGGATTCGAGGCATGCCCTGCTGACAGCCGTAGACCCACATAATATGCTGTTGGTCGCAGATGACCTTTACAGCATCACCGGGTTTGGGGACGGCGAGATCCTAAGGGGACCTCAAGCCGAGAATTGGCGAGTGCCTCTAGAGGTATTCCAGGCGGATGGCGTCTCCCCACGGGGGAAGTCTCCTCTCCGTCTGGAGCCTCTACACCACTTCAACCTGAGGGGGTCGGCTAAACTAGAGGGTGTCTCTGAGACTCGGACCACGGCTCTAGTTAGCCGTTGTCGTGGGGGGGCTTCCACTAAAGTACGCGTTACTCAATTTTTGTTTAGAAATCGAAATCGCTGTCAAATCTCTAGGAAGGTGGAAAACGATGATGATACAGCCCATACATTCACAGATTAATCTGAGCAAATAGGGTATTTGACAAGTTTTAAAAAACGATCTCACGTTATTGACTAATGTTTATGGAGTCCGTAAAAAGTAGATCCATCATTCTGTTGTGTATTTCAGTAAAAAAAAAACAAATCAAAAACTCCATTTACAAGTTGCCGCGAAAACGTTTCTCTGGACAATATGGCGTCTTACTAGTGTGTGACGTCACACGACTGTTATTAAAACGTCAAACGATACAATGTAATGTCACTATAACCGTAAGTTTACTTGCGTGTGACGTCATTTTAGGCTCCGCCAATCCCAAGCGTTTTGGGTCACGTGCCAATAGATAAAAAAAAATGATGTGGTGTCGTGGGACACCAGGTAGGAACGAAGTTCCTTCGGCTAATGTAGAATCGACACAAATTGCAAAAAAAATCGTGCTCAATTTTATGTAGGTTTTCTTGATTTTTCTCTTAAATTTTGCTGATTAGTTTTTATTTAAGTACAAGAAAGTATTTAGGAAATACAGTATTTTAGGAAATAATAAATTACTTAAAATAAAAAAACATCGTAATTCAAATTATCAACTAAAATAACAAAATATGTCTCTTTATTTTTGTTTGACAACATAAAATTACCTGTCGCGCCTGCGCACGTCTCATTTAACGGTTTATTTTATTCCACGCACTTTTTTCCACGGATTTTTTCTTACGTTTTTACATTTTTTTCAGTTCGGTCGGGCAGCAAAATCCCTATCCCCTCCAAGCCTGCCGTAAAGAACTTCGTTCCAAAAACTATCTTTTTCGTTAATTTTTAGTAAAATGAATATTTTTTTTTTGTAAAAATAGTAAAATCTCCTGCCAATATTCATTCTAAACACAGATGCTAACAGTTGGCACTTTATTTTTAATACTGTCATATACCCTATTGCTATCACCGAACGGCCCGACCAACCGTAGATTAATTTCTAACCTCAAACAGAAACAAACCTCACAACATGACAGATAACCGAGATTAATCTTTCTCGTCGGGCAAATACTCCGAGCAAACAGATTTACATCGGAACTGATCTGAGCGGAATTACCGAACGCTTCAGATTTAGGTACTCTAGATGTATATCACTAACGATTCAGACCCGACAGATTCAGATGAAAGAAATACAAAGTGTCTAGTTCCTTTCAGATCACCAAACGATAACCAATATTTATTCCCAAAAATTTATAATATAATTCGATGTCGTCGTACCTAAATTACTGATTACAATATCAACTTACTAGCTTTTACATAAGCGAAGCTATTCTACTCTCGCCCAAAAAATAGGCTTTCCGATTTCAACATGCTTAGATTAATTTAAATATAGTAGTACACTCATCAGTATGACTTGCTCCATTTCAAGTCATAATTGACATCAAAGTCATAGGAGCCCCATTATCATAATATGCCCAGGGCCTCCAATAAGTTAAAGACAGATGATTCAGACTAAAATTATTGATCAAACGCAAATACTGAACGCAGCTAGTAACGAACTATTGGCCTCCCGAATACTTCTCCTCTCTCATACATAATCTCCCTTATAAATAAACGAGGTATTCCTTAGGCTTAGACTAGTTACACAGTGTTTTGTTCATATCACACAAGTGTAGGGTTACCAGATGAAAAAATCAAAAGTCCGGAGAAAAGGCTTGATTTCCATTAAAAAATCCTGAGATTTTTACATTTTGAGAATTTTCTCTCAATCCTACAACAATTTAAAAAAGCCGTAACATTATCGTTTATATACATGCTGCTTATACTTTTAATTCAATATAATTTGAAGAGCTTAGCATGTGGGGCATTTTATAAATCCATAATTAAAGAAAAAACCTTACTTAAATATGTATCATCACATTTTAAGTATGATAAAACTGAACAAGTACCTACTTGGATAAATAAATACTGATTTTAACTATGCAATTATTATCAAAGGAAGATTATTTTTAGTTTGTGTAAGTTTTTATTAAACAGATCTTTAAAACGTTAGCTGTATTTTATTGAAAATTCAAAAAATCCTGAGATTTCAAGAGATTTCCAAAATCCAGTCGCAATCCTGAGAAGAGTCCAAAAATCCTGAAATCTCAGGACAAATCCTGAGATATTGTAACCCTACACAAGTGCCAATTGTCAATCAATAGACAGAGACAAAACATGGAAGTAACTGATCTAAGCGTTGTCTTCGTTTATTCATAAGGGTTCCAATGTTTACTTACCATTCCTTATATTTGTTCAGAATTCTCAACGGACGGCTCAAAAAACCGGACTCCAGACAACCTGCAGAATGTCAACTACATAATATGCAACGAGGGGTTACATCTAACACCAAGAGAAACACAAAACATGATAAAATGCGCTCACATACTAGGCAACGTGTTGAGCAAAGCGATCGAGAGGCGGTGCCGTGAAAAAGACAAGGTAGAAGAAAAAGTCAAAGATCTTACTGGCCTCGAAGACGAGGAAGTTGAGTCGAAGAAAAAAACTCTAACGTTAGACTTGAAGGAAACGCTTTTACCCACAGAAGTGAGATTGGAAACAAAATGCGAGACTGTGACGACGCAAACTGACATCTCTTTGCCGAACACGAAAAGCGCGCCGAGGATATTCGAGAAAATCCTGAGGCAACTGTCGAAGACTTCCCTCGACGAGGGATTGAATAAAATGGCCGAAAACAAAAGTGCGGACAACAAAGATGAAGGCACTGAGAAAAGTGAAGCTGCGAAACAGAATTAAGAAGAAGTACAGTACAATTACTGAAGCTGGCAACATCTTCATCGTAAACCGTAGACAAAATAGAATATGCAGTTTAAGTAGCGGCAAAGACAAACTTGTTGAGCAAGACCACAGACAAATGAACTTGCGCAGTAAATATTTTTAGGGTTCTGTACTCAAAGGATAAAAACGAGACCCTATTACTAAAACTGCGCTATCTTTTATATATAAGTATATATATCCATCTTATAGTAATATAAGTTATTTACAGGAATGTTACCATGTACCTTCTTTTTAGAGAGTTTAAGTTTACAACAAGGTACATGGTAACAAACCCGTAAATAACTTATATAACTATAATGTTGGTGACCATGGAAGTTTAAAACAATATATCCATCTGCTGCCTGGTCCGCGTGGAATTTATTCTAGTAAATTTTTCTAGCAGTTAAATGCTTAAAAACAAATAATATAAGAAAAATATCACCTAACTGCATTGCAGACCAAAGGAGATTGCTCAGCTTCCATACATGTTTGGCCTAAAAACCAATAATCATGAAAAATTGTTTCCTAGATTCGAAATTATATATAAATTACTGTAGAAACGAATATTATTGACGGACACCCCTGAGAACTCATATAAACCATATACACTGAACATATTAAAATAATAAACAACAAATAAGTTATATAGTAAACTAGGGAAATCAAGCCAAGTACCGAAATTATGGATTAGATTCAGGTATATAGAGCATGTACATTAACAGATAGTTGTCTGTTTTTAAAGTTAATGCATAAGAGTAACTTTTAAAATCAGGTGTCATTTCCGGTTTTATAATAAAATACTCTGTGACAGAAACTGTGTGATGATTGTGAATGAGCCACAGATTAGAGAGAATTTTGAAACTCTCCTTAACCAAAGAAAGCTAAGATATTTAGGTTCTACAGCCATATATTCAGTAGCTTCATTATTATTGTTATGTTTTTAAGATAACCATATTTTAGATTATTAGTGTATCACACCTTATAATTTTATTTATTTATTAATTTATAGTCAGGGAACGTAGGCCCATAGATAGATACCTTAAAGTTTAACATATATACAGATTATAATGTGTTTATGGAGGTGTTTGGCGAAAAATGTATGGCAATAGACTTTATGATGTCGCCTATCATCTATAATAATTGTCTGAGCACATTTGCATCTAGTGAAAATGATAATAATAGTTGTGGATATTAATACCACAGTGTAATAAAAAAAATGATTTATTTTATCGATCTTTACAAAATAGATTTGTTTTTATGTTATATAAACAATTTCGATTAGTCTTTGGCTGAATGTTGCTACACCCATAGCCATTAAAAATAATTCGTATGTTTTCCAAACCGGTAAAATTAAAAGTCCTTTTTAAAGTAAATATATTATACAAAGGTGTCCGTTGAAATCTAATGACTGTAAATTTAATTATAAATTACGTCAAGAATTACCGTGTATGTCAATATTTTTTGTGCATTTAGGCCAATTTAAGCAATCTCCTTCCTTAATTTAATTTGCGCCTTCCGTTTTACATAGTAACCACTTAAGCTACCAACCATCACCAGTTGCTATTTTTTAAGTTTAGGAGAAGACCTTAATAGTGATCTGGCAAAATGAGGGCTATCGCGTAATAATATTTGGTAAGAAGTCGGTTAGATTATGGCAAATATGAGTAACTTGGTAACGAATATTAGTTATTTAAAAGAGGAGCTAAGAAAGATTATTATGTCCTTTTTTTCCGAACAAAACGGAACTGCGCATAACTGTGAGATGGCCGATTATGTTTAGGATACGGTTCTTTTGTATTAAAATATGATTTAAATGTAAACTTTGTTTTTATGCGCGTATTAATAAACAATTCAGGACGTAGAAGGACATAGAAGTTACAATTCAGGACGTCACTCAACAGTGGTGCCATACTGCCATCTAGGGAGAAAGAAAACGGTAGCCCTCATTCTGACACATTTAAAAGTTTGAAGAACTTGATGAAATTTTTTTTTTTTATAATTACCAAAAACAAGTGTTAGCATAATAAGAGGTAATAATTATAATGAGTAATGACTGTTTCCCTAAACAAATAAATTTATTCCTGTTTTTAAATGTGTTTTTTTTCAACCGCTTACCTATAGTCTGTATCCTGACCAGTCACAATCATAAAAGAGGGAGGAAGCAAAGCCTATTTTCCGCTAAAATTAGACCTCCTGATCCGTAGGAAAAATGACCTCCGCTCTGACAGTAAACCACGGTGAAAAAGCAATGCCTTTTGGTCACAGAATACAGAAAAAGGTTAACCCACCGATGGCTTGGCGACGATTCGCGTGTGGTGCTTGTTGCACTGCCGGATTTAGGGGAGGGCAACCGGGGCGAAAGCCCCGGGGCCTCCACAAACGGGGGACGCCCGCAATAGAGACTTCGGAAAAAAAAATCTTTCAAATTCCAACTAGTAAACATCTTTTCCTTTGATATTTTTTTTTTTGCTCTTTTACCTTTACCTACAGTACTTTGTACATCTAACATACATGATTATTTGATTATATTAATCTTAAATAACAGAAACCATTGATCTATATTTGTTCACTCCAATCAGGCAATCAGTGAAATATCAAAATCTCAAATGGCCCTGATAAGCGCTTCCAATTCACTACCCATCTTGAGGGAGCATGCGCATTCTCGATTCGAGAGAGAGAAAGGCTAGCAGTCTCTCATCTTCTTTCTCTTTCCCACTCTATTCTTATAACTCTATGCACATAACTGTGGCATTTTTGTCCCAACCCACAAGGAACTAACCTATTTCTGTGTTCTGTGCTTTTGGTATTGTATTTCTGATAAACACCCCAGCAAACTCAATGAATAAAAATTATTCCTTCGCGTCACCGCTCTCTCAGCCTATTAATGTCCCCACTGCTGGGGCATAGGCCTTCCCTATGGTAGGAATAGCGAGATTGACCCACCACGCCGGTGCGAATGGTGGGTGACGACTGCAGATGCCGCCGGGACCAACGGCTTAACGTACCTTCCTAAGCACGGAGGAGCTCGAGATAGTAAATTTTTGATGACCCATCCAATGACCGACCACTGCGAAAGTTGCTCAACTTCAAGGATCGAGCTCCTCTCTCGAAATAATCAATCCAAAAGGATGGAGTGATGAATTAAACATTATGACGCCTTAATTTTGTCTGTATGTGTGTTATTTTGCAGCTCTTTGCTGACTTTGGCAAGTTTAAGGTTAAACTAAACTTTTACTGCAAAATCGAGCGAGCCTTACGGTAGTCGCGTATGATGTGTAACATTTGAAACCTCACCTTATATTAGTAAAAAAAGAAATAAAACCTACTATAAAAGGAATTTGAACATTCGCGTATGATGTGTAACATTTGAAACCTCACCTTATATTAGTAAAAAAAGAAATAAAACCTACTATAAAAGGAATTTGAACATTATGTTCTAAAATCAAATCAAATAGCGCGCGATTTCGCGACTTCCTGTTACACACTTCCGTCCCATTTCACGAAATCCTCTCACAAATTGCAGGAAAGCGAGAGGAAAGATGTTACACATCAATAAAATAGTAAGGTAAGAAAAATTAATCAAATAAAAGCAATAAAATATATTTCCACATAATTTATTTCGACTTAAAATATAATAAAACTAAATTTCACAATTTTATAATAATAATAATAATAACCTTAAAATTAATAATCGTTGCATGTTTTTACTTAAAATTTTTATCATAACTCGAATAGTGTACAACGGACAACGCATCAGACTTAAGACAAGCAATTTTAAGCCTTACGAGAAACCGAATAAAGTTCAGAACTTATTGCCAGTTTGAAACCTTATGTGTCATAATATGACACGAGATGAAATACAAAACAGAAATGAGACAGAAGAAAGACCCCGAACACTCCACAATACTTTAATAAGAGTTCAATTTAAATAAAAAAGAAAATCTTTTGATATAGAATGATTTAGAATGGATCTCGCAATTTATTCAAAAAGTTCTTACAACAAACGTATTTTTAAATATTTAGTGTTGTTAAATATGATTACTAAGACCATATTCAGGATTTAAATTTACTCATAAAATTTCTTATAAACAAGGGAATAATAATAATGAATTGAAGAAGTGAAGACATTACAAACACTAAAAAATTTTTTTAAACTCAGTTTTGAACCTATTTATTTGTCGTGTGGTATTTTTTTTTAATTTATTACTTTAATTAAGTTAAAAGGCAATGAAACCATACCAATTTATATTTTTTTATACAGGGTGTTACAAAAATACAAATAAAGCTTGAAGGGCGTTGAAGTACATCATATAAGGAGTCTTCTCTAATTTTCTTAATTTTTGTGCATGAAGTTTTTTTAACTTTTTGTAAACAGTTATTTTTTATGATTAATAAAAATATCGATCATTTTAAGACACGTCACTAGTTCGAGGATCATTAAAAATTACTGTTTTTACAAAAAGTTAAACATTCATGCAAATATTTTATGAAAATTAGAGAAGACTCCTTATATGATGTACTTCAACGCCTTCAAGCTTTATTTGTATTTTTGTAACACCCTGTATATGAATCTTCAATATGTTTATTTTTTTCACAAGCAGAATTGTGAATACAATTTACTCATTATGAATATATGTTTTGTATGGCAATCAAATTAAGCTATTTTGGTACACAGAAAAGCATATATCAAAACAACACAAATATGTCATAATTTCAACTTTATTCGTAGGCAAGTTGTGTTGCAGTATTTTGACATTCTGTTGTAGAATAACACGCATAAGTTACTATTTAACAGAAAAAAACGTTTTATAAGGTTCAAAACTGGTAAATAATTGATGCTTTTAAAAATATTGCTTCATATAGTGACGCCATCTAGAATACGAATTCTGCAAATCCATCCCCTTCTTTTTATATAGGAAAATTCGTTCATTAGAGAAAGAAGACACATAGTAAACCTCACTTGGATCAACATTCAATGACAATTCCGAACCAGAGACAAACACAAATCGAACCGTCATCATTAACCAAATGACAATGACAATGTCCGATACATTATTAAATTTTATATTCCTTTATCTAATTAAAAACGCTACAAAAGTCTACCTAGCTAAACCTTAAAAATAATATTTACAAATTAAAAATTATAATTATACAAAAATATTCTATCATAAAAGTTATTTTTAATAAGCGTAAAAGTGTTTCGAGATTTTTTCCTTTGATTTGTTTGACTTATGCTTGTCATTATTCTGACATGCGTCACAAATTTATGTTATGACTGTTTATCATTTTCTATGTACCTCTATATTTATTAGATACTTATTTCTCAACACATGTTAAAGGGTAAATAAAAGCTTTCCAACTTTTTAAACAATTATGAATCATGTGTCAATATATTGAAAATATAAAATCAAACATCTAAATACTTTTGTTTAACCTGGCATTCATATGGCATCAAACACGTAATTAAATATATATGAAGTTAATGTAACATCTGAAATTTTATATAAAATCTTCAGCTAATTTTCTTGCGTGCGATAAATCGATAAAAATGGGTTAGAAATGTCAAAATTTACATTAATTTTATACAAATGTGGTTACGTGGTGTCGCATTTAGCTATGATTAATATTTAATTATATGTATAGCCAATCAGAAACGAATGAACTATCAAACATGCGTGACGCAAACTATAATACATTTGTGACGCAAATTGGTTATGATGCACGACGCAATGTCATAACAAATCATCGGAAGAGAACTCGACAAAAATCTCAAGAACTAAAACATTTCCCTTATATTGTATATTTTTGTTCAACTTTAAAAGAAATTACTAAAGTCGGTATACTTTTCGTTAGCAACAACAGAACAATACAATCTAGAAGAAAATCAAGAACTGGGTGTTAATGACACAATTCATTTGTTCTCCCCATTTCTATCGGAAACTACAAAACGGCGCGACTATTTTACTTTCAGATGCCAAAGCATGTACTTTGACAGATCCGTAATGGTCAAATTTTTTATAGTACGAGCCAGTTTGTTCTTACGTCCGGTAGGGGCGCTGTTTAAGTATTCATAGAAAATTTGACGATGCGATACGATTACTGTCAAACTGTCAAAGTCGAGTTTGGGCTTCTGAAATCCATCAAGCCGCAATCGGCGTGTGCAATATTTATCAATAGAAGTGTCGATATACAAACTATCGACACTTAGGCAACACTAATGAGAAGGCCCGTTTTATTAGTGGATCAAAATGGGTTATTAAAAGGAGATATTCGTAAAATTCTTAAAATAAATATTCAGCCCATAAGTGTGCCCAAACTGTCAAGTGGTATAAAATTATGTGCGTACGTACATAATGACAAAATTATGACTGCTTTAAATTTTGAAATTTGTGATTTTAAGTTCGGTTTAAACGAACTACAGATAGACACTATGTGATGGAAATTATTAAATTTAAATTATGTAATTTATTAAATTAAATAAATGATTAGGTGTATTTTTAGTGACATGTGCCTATTTCTATAATAATTGATTATGTATTATTAATATGATTATGAGTTATGTTGCTCGAAATAAATGAATTTTATTTTATTTATTTTTTTTACTAATCCAACACACATGAAACTTCAAAGGGATAAAAAATCGAAAATCATACCATAATTGAATTTTTTAAAAGTATAACACCTATTAAATAAAACTAGTTTTTACGGGTTAATGCACGAAACTTTATTTATTTATTGAAGTTTCGTAGCCTTTACAGGCTTCGTCGTCAGAAGGCCTGTAAAGGCTACGAAACGTCAATAAATATATAAAGTTTCGTGCATTAACCCGTAAAAACTAGTTTTATTTAATGAGTGATGTGCGTGAAAACCTAAGAAACAAATAGTATAACACCTAAGCAAAATTATGACTGCTTTAAATTTTGAAATTTGTGATTTTAAGTTCGGTTTAGACGAAATACAGAAAGACACCAATTCAACACACATGAAACTTCAAAGGGATAAAAAATGGAAAATCACACCATTATAAAATCTGTTAAAAGTAATAATAATACCTATTAAAAATTATAAAAATGCCGTCCGAATTAAAATTAAAAATATATTTACAAGACGCTGAATATTAAAATGGATAGATTTAAAGCTTCAACTGGACTTCGGACAGCTAGAAAATTGGGCTTTTCATAGTAGAAAGATGTTATGCCAAAGTGATTTTTAACACCAACGGAATAACGGTCATTTTTTATACTCAACAATTCTGTTATAAAGTCTAACATATAACAGAGATGTTAATTTCCAATATTAAAGTTATTTTTGTGAGGTTTTCGCTATTTTTTGGGCCAATGGGACCAATTCTTTTTTCTAACTGTCGTTGGTCACATTTTTAAATGTTTCACACATTTTAGAAAGAATCATCAAGTCTAAAACAGAAATAAAACTTTTGCCGCTCGTAGACGCAAATTAACTTTGAAGTTGTTAGCCGTCTCTTTCTTGTCAAACTTTTGACGAGCCATTAAAATTTAATTGGCATCCCCGAATTCGGCCTTAAGTCGGATAAGTATATTTTCTCTCCTCGACACTTCGAACTGTCAAAAAGGTTAAAAAAAATAGTGTAAATATAATTGTATGATTTTCGAATGTTGATGCAACTAGGGTTAGGTTAGGTTAGGTTAGGTTTTACGAATTTCGAAAGTCCTGGACATTTCGAAAAAAGTCCAGGGTTTTTAGTCACAAAATGGTACCATTACTCACTTGGTTACAATGGTATGGTATTTATATCAAAAAGTACTTTTCTTAATAATATTCAATGAAATTTAAAAAATCAACATATTTAGATGCAATTACTGTAGTAATATGGAAAAATATTAGTTTTTTTAACACCTACCAATCGTCATTGGGTCCAAATGTTCTTTAACAGCCCATTTTAGTTGTCTTTTAATATTTTGAATATAATAATATAATATAACAGTTTAAAATATCGGCAAAACATCGAAAATCGTACAAAGAACACACTTCAGAATTTCTGTTTAATTTTTTTGTCTTTTTGTTTAAACTAAATTCTATTTATTTACAAATTTAATTAATAATATACGGACAGTAAATTACTATTTGGGAAATCGATTAGTTTTGTAAACAAAATTGCTATGTTTATTACTAAATTATTTTCAACAAAACCAAATCGACCCCAAAAAGTTACTATCATAAAAAATATATATATTTATAATATCTGTATCTTTCTTAAAAACTAGTAAATTTCGTAACATTATTTTTTTATTCAGCAGTGTTACAAGCGCATAATTTTGTTTAAGAAACACGTAAAAAAAATAAAAGATAAAATCTGCCGATAAAATTAATGTAAGTATTTTAAAAAAAACCAAAAAAAAAACTAAAAATTTAAAATTTAATAAAAATTTCTTAAAAAAATTAGAGATTGTTTTTTTCTCGTTCCGCGCTTTACAGAATATATTGCAGGGCAAATTATAATATAATTAATAATAATAATTAAACTTAAAACACTAAATGGCATATAATAGAGGTGGGATAACGATGTAATTTGTTCCTTATCGACTAAAAATGTTTTGTACTAAAAGTTTTTTCTCCTTAGTCACTTTTTTAGTTATAATATGGCATACAGATTTTTTTTATGTTATTCTATATTATTTACAAACTATAAGAATATTTTTATATGTCAGCGTTTCGTTAGCAATTTTTTAGTTGCCTCAATATTTTTTTTTATCGCTCAATATTTAAACACAAAATTGCTTGAAATCTGATAATTAATAGGAATTGATATAGTTTCAATAATTCTAAATCTATTGAAACGATATAAATTCTTTTAAAATGTTCAAAGAGAGATTGCACTATGGAAATATAGTTGTATTTAAATTACACGATTAATTTTAGTTCTCTTTTCAAAGAACGTTTTATTTTTAACGAACTTTTTCATGAAAATTAAAACTTTTAAATCGGGCAACTATTTAACTACTAAATATACTTCAACGCTGCCAAAAACACAAACAGACAGAAGTCATTGCACTTTAAAATGGAATACACTTGTACAAAGCTAGGGTTCTGCTAATATTGACTAAATCTACGTCTCTAAATAGTTTTTTAGTGAATATTTTTTTTTAAACAACTGAAATTTAAAGATAAAACTTGTTTACTCGGGTTCCAATTCAAAATACATACTTTATGTTACAATAACTAATAAATAAAATATAATAGTATGGTTTTGTTCTATTGCAAAGATTATTGTGGTTTCAAAAGCAATATGAATATAGCAATTTGTATGTGAAAATTGTACATTACTATGGTTTATTAAACCATACTAATATTATTAATTAATTATTGTAATTAAATTTGCTATGTATTCAGGAAAAAAGGATTGTCGTCAAAACGCTATATAGAGACAAATTTATTGCAAAAATATTAGCAAAATCTAGGCTAAATAAATATGTAGCCTTTTCCATGATATTAATTAATTACATAATTACACATAAGATTTAGTCACCGAATTGTATTCGATGACGGAACATTTTCGTTTCGTTGTTTCACTATCGCAATTCACGAATTTGATATCCAAAACAGGGTATAACAGTTCATATAAAGGTTATTAGAATTCCACAATTTCTTGAAGAATCAACGGTTTTGTTATAAAATATCATAATTTGTTTATTAGTTTTTGTTGCAATATTTCATATTCTTCAGAGAAGATATCAAGATTTTTTAGGATTATCTATGATTAGAATTTTTGTGATAATATAAAGAAAACACGAAATTTTCTTAAAATAAGACCAGTTTTTTGATGGAGATTTGACAATAAGAATATTGCTTTTAGATGTATATTTTAGTAATTTTCAGTGTGGTCTTCCGAAAAGACCATGGTATTTCCAGTACACACCAGAGTTATTTTTCAAAGCAATATTCTTCTTTAGACTAAAGAAGTAAATATGAGACTGGTCTTTTGAAAAGACCGTGGTCTTTCCAGTAGACCACGTATTTTTCGAAGCTCTTTCTAAACATTAACTAAGCAAATCGTCTTTTTATAGAAAACTTCGTGGTCTTTTGTCTCATGAGCCTGGTCTTTTGAAAAGACCGTGGTCTTTCCAGTAGACCGCGTATTTTTCGAAGCTCTTTTTCAACATTAACTAAGAAAATCGGCTTTTTATAGAAAACTTCGTGGTCTTTTCTCTCTTATGATATTTAATTACTTAGAGCAATAGTCTATGCCTCCTATGGTGTATCGACGAAGCTGGCTGCGATACAGATCTATGTTTCTTCAACGAATCCTTATGTTTCGGATCCAACATTGCGGTATAACCCGCTGGGGAGCAAAGATTGGGGTATTTCTTATAGAAAGCGTGGTAACCCTCGTGTAATAAATATACTTCAGGGTAATGGAGTGAAGGGTAGTTCTCCTTGTTTTTGGCTCGGTCCGAAGAACGGAGGAAGCGAGATCTGTGGAATAGAAATTGTGAATTAATACTTATTATAAACGTAAAGAGTAAAAGATGTATGTCCTTATGTCTCATGGTATACAAATATATATATATATATACTAGCTGACTCGGCGAACTTCGTACCGCCCAAAAGTAATAATTTGCAATAAATTAAAATTGCGACTATAATTTGAGATTTAAACTATCCTATCTCTCAAGTTGGATCGAACTGCACATGGTGTGCGAATTTTATTATAATCGGTTCAGTGGTTTAGGAGTCCAATGAGGACAAACATTGTGACACGAGATTTATATATATTAAGATTAAGATATATATATAGTTATTTTTAAAAGTGAAACTTCTTTTTGGTCGCGGTATAAATGGAAAAATCCTATGGAAAATATGAAACGGAAATGTATGTTAATTATATCATAAAAGTCTGTAGTTCAAATAAGTCTTTCAATATAAATGAAAATGGTGACAGTGTGAAATGACTTGGTAACCAAATAAAAACGCTAAAAATTAATGATATATGATTATTTTCACTCAAGTCAAAAGTACATTTAAAATCATATTAATATTTGGATTTGGTGCTTGCTAAAATTAAGTGTTGAATGAATTTATTTAGAACAAGTTTACTATATAAATTGTTTATGATATTCAAGAACTAAGTTTTATTTCTGTCAATTCTTTTAATTTTTCAGTTTTTAAATAGGTAATTATGTATTAGAATTTAAATTAATTTGGCGATGTTTTACTTAATTTAGAAGAATCCGTTTATTAATTAATAAACGGATTATCAATATAATCGTGGATTATCAATTGATAATCCACGAATAAAATTACTTAATTAAATAAAAAAAATCGTTGTTTGTTTGTCGCGTGGTTTAATTTTTTTTTTAATTAGATTTGTTTTTATAATGTCGTATTTTATTTCATACTAATGATGTAATAAAGTCTGTAAAGTCAATCCAAAAGTCTAATAAATAATGAAAAAAGGGTTACATTTTTATTTTTTAAGCATTTAACTGCTAGATGTTTAAATCTAAAGAAAAGTTTACTAGAAAAAAAATGCAACTATAATTGCTATTTCTTCTTTCGAGTTTAATTAATGTAAAGGTTCTGAGAATTTGACATTGTGGGTTACCTACAATGCGAAGAGATGGCGCTGCCGTGCAGCTTAAGAAATGTTAGAAAGAATTCGACACGGCCATCAGGGGCGCGGTATCATAATGGTCAGTGCATTCGCCCGGATTACGAAGGGTACGGGTTCGAGTCCCGTCTGCTGCCTGGTCCGCGTGGAATCTTTTCTAGTAAACTTTTCTTTAAATTTAATGAAAATAAAGGTAGAAAATCCATTTTTTTCTGTATTTATGTAGGTACTTATATAAATTATATATTTTTTTTAATTTTTATTATTTTAAAGCATGTAACTGCTTGATGTATAAATCTAAAGAAAATATAACTAGAAAAAATTCCACGCGGACCAGGCAGCAGACGGGACTCGAACCCGCACCCTTCGCAATCCGGGCGAATGCACTGACCAATTATGCTACCGCGGCCCTCACGGACCGCGTCGAAATTCTTCTAGCCATTCTTAAGCTGCAAGGCAGCACCATCTCTTCGCATTATAGGTAATATAAATTGTTTTAATACTTATATAAATTGTTTATAATATTCAAGAAGTAAGTTTTATTTCTGTCAATTCTTTTTATTAATGTCAGTTTTTTAATAATTATTTATAAGAATTTAAATTAATTTGGCGATATTTTACTTCATTTAGAGGTATCCATTTAATAATTGATAATCCACGAATAAATTTACTTAATTAAATAAACAAAAATCGTTGTTTGTTTGTCGTGTGGTTTAATAATTTTTTTAAAGTTACATAAAAAAAAATTTACTCACAATTTAGGCCCTCTCTCCAATGAGAATTCGCAGTGGAACACCAGTATGTTCCTCTTGGTCCCGCATTCGATTCTCGGGTCGGACACTAAAGCCTGCACTTGGGCCGGAGTGTATAAATTAATCGCTTCCTTAATATGTCCGCCGTCGAATTCGTATGGATAACGGCAATCTATTACCTGGTGACAAAAAAAACTTGGTGTGAATATAAAAAAAAAATAGGTAAAAATAAAACAAGCTAAATTTGAAGTCGTTGAGTGTTGAACACTCTCGAAGGAGATCGATCGTTGAAGTTAAGCAACTTTCGCAGTGGTCGGTCATTGGATGGGTGACCAAAAATCTTCTATCTCTCATTCCTGCGTGCTTCGGAAGGCACGTTAAGCCGTTGGTCCCGGCTGCATCTGCAGTCGTTAGCACCCGCCAATCCGCACTGGGCCCGCGTGGCGGGTTATGGGCCAATCTCCCTATTCCATCCACAGAGAAGGCCTAACAAAATTGAATAAAAAAATATTATTCTGACGATGCAGACCTGAAAAGGCTGCGAAACGTCAATAAATAAATAAAGTTTCGTGCATTAACCCGTTTAAACTAGTTTTATTTAATGAGTTATATGCGTGAAAGCATAAGAAACAAATTATACCGTTTTTGTTCACCAGCTCCTCAATGAGGGCTATCGCGTATGAATCCGCCGCTAGAGGCGCTAGTGTAGCGTGAGGTCTCCGAAATGTCAAATGTTATTGGTTGTTGGTTGACTACGCGGGTTTATTTCTAATTAAAACAATGTTGTGAATAATTGGTAACAATTCGGCTTAATTATGGCAAATATGAGTTATGTGGCAATGTGTGTCAGTTATTAAAAATTTGAGCTTAGAAAAATGATTATGTTCCCATTTTTTCCGAATAAAACGGAACTGCGCGTCACTGTGGCATGGCCTATTATGTTTAGGATATGGTTCTTTTGTGTTAAAATACGATCTAAATGTAACCTTTGATTTCATGTGCGTATTAATAAACTTTAAAAGTTACAATTTAGGACCTCACTCAACAGTGGCGCCATCTGGTGAGACAGAAAACGGTAGCCCTCATTAGTAATATAATTAGAATAATTATTATTTTAGATTTAAACATCTAGCAATTTATATGCTTCAAAAAATAAAAATATAACTATAATTACTTTATAGTTTTCCACATGTCCCCTGTATATTCCGTTGAGCAGATTGGCTAGAGTATCGCAGGAAATGCTGCGCAGATCTGGATGATGTCCTGCAGTTAGAGGCAGCAAGAATGGTTGAGAGAAATCTCCAATGAGATCCGGTTCCACCGCAGCTATAAAAAATAAAATAAGTTTATTTAAATTTACTATGTAAAGAGATGGCGCTGCCTTGCAGCCTAAGAATTACTGGAAGAAATTCGACACGGCCATTAGGGCCGCGGAAGCATAATGCATCCGAGTGCGGGTTCGAGTCCCAGCTGCTGCCTGGTCTGGGTGGAATTTTTTCTAGTAAAATTTTCTTTAGTTTTAAATATCTAGCAGTTAAATGCTTAAAAAAAATCTAAAATTAATTATTTGAAACTGTGTCCATAATCAATATAAATTCGATGTAGTGTTAGTAACAAAAAGAAAAATTTTATGTTAGCATATTATTAAAAACTAGCAAATCAGTGAACCAAATGTTCACCAAAACCTGATTTAAAAAAAAAATGTATTTAATTAATTGAGAACTTCGGAGATTTTGTGTGGTTTCGTTTGAAATTCGTGATTTCTCGAAAACCGGAAGTGCTATGTTACTCAAATCCGGTTTGTAGTCTTATCAGACTATTCTTAACTTATAACTTAAATATTCTCTTTATCTATCTCTTACGGTTTGGCCGCTGAAACAGCACCACAGACGGACGGACGGACTTGTCTAATAGATAAGAGATGTTTGACTTTAGAAAGAGTTTAAAGAACTTCCTTAAATTGACAAAACTCCATTTTTGTCAATTTAAGGAGGTTTGTCAAATACCTAGTTTTTTGAGTTAAGATTTTGTTTAGGTTGTAGTTAAAAAAAAGGTTTTTATGTCATAAAAATCTCTTATCTATTAGACAAGTCCGTCCGTCCGTCCGTGGTGCTGTTTCAGCGGCCAAACCGTAAGAGATAGATAAAGAGAATGTTTAAGTTATAAGTTGAGAATAGTCTGATAAGACTACAAACGGGATGTGAGTAACGTAGCACTTCCGGTTTTCGAGAAATCACGTGATTTCTATTTCAAACGAAACCACACAAAATCTCCGAAGTTCTCAATTAATTAAATACTTTTTTTTTTTTTGGTGAACATTTGGTTCACTGGTTTGCTAGTATTGAATAATCGAATAGTATTTTTGGACATAAATTTTTCATTTTTTTCACATAATCAAAACATAACAGAGACATATTGATTTGGTATATCGCATCACGTCATTTTCAAACTTTGATGCCGTTTATCTTTATATAATATTTTGGTTGAACGACAAAATAAAAGTTTTGTGCCCATGAATTTTTTGATAATTTCATTTCATTGTAATTTTTATTTTATAAGCATGTAACTGCTTGATGTTTAAATCTAAAGAAAATATAACTAGAAAAAATTCCACGTGGATCAGGCAGCAGACGGGACTCGAACCCGCACTCTTTTCATTTTCAATTTCATTTCATTTAAACCTGTCTACATCCCTTTTAGAATTATTTTAAGGATAAATTAATTATATAGCAAAATCATTACTTACATCTCGCCAAAGCTGACATTATGCTAGCATTATTTTCAGAGAAAGCTCTTTGCAACACCGGCCTTTGGACTCTTTCCATGATCGGGTTAGAAATCTCCTGTTTTCTTCTCTTATTAACCGTAACATCTTCTTCGCTTCTCTCCACTCTTTTTTGGGTTTTCTTCTCCGGGTTTTCCAGAATAGAAAATAAAGAAACCCTAGCTTTACAGCTGTCCGGGTTAAAACTCATACTCCTGTGGAACGATGGCTTCCCAAACGTTTTGTCCGTTAAAATATTGTCTTTTATTGGTCCGGACAGTAAGTCGTTGAAGTTTGCCATTTTAGGTGAGTTTGAGGGCTCCTCCAATTCTAAGAAAGGTTCTTCTAATTCGCTAATGAAACCGCTTTCCATCGAAGTCTGCGATTCTAATGTCAACATTCTCGATCGACTTGAAGCGGGGGAAGAAAACGAACTCATTGAACCAATACTGGAATCACTTCGTTCGTGCCTCAATGGATTTTTAGTTGGTGTTTCTGTGAATTTTAGAGACTTCTTAACGGAGAGATTGTTCGCTGTAACTTTTTTAGCAGGTGGTGAGGTGAATTCAAAGTTTTCATCTTCAAAATTCAGCATTCTTGTAGCAGTTACAGTTGGCCGGTTAAACGAAGTTGACTGTTCGGTGTCAGATATTGGTGCACCGAAGACAAAATTTCTGGAGTTTACTTTCCTTGAAGTAGAAGGTCTACCTCTAGATATAATATTGGGACTGTCTGTCGATATAATTTCGTATTTTGTGCAATTGTCAAAGTTGTCATTGTCAAATTCTACCTCTAAATCGTGTAATGTTTCTTGATCTTGGTCTAGGTCCATTTCTTTTTCTGGTACGTAGATGTCCTCTTTGGCCATCTTTGATTCTTGTTTTGGAGGTAGTGAGTCGGTGAAGTCCAGCTGGAATAGAAAGGAATGAATTTTTAGCTCGATCGTGTAAAAGTATAGTAGATGTGAAAATTTTTGGATTATTCAATTCAACAGTTATTGCAGACCACAATTGAAATACAGAGGTGGTAATTTTAAACAGATAAAATGTAGTGGATTGTAGAGGAGAGGATATCTTATTAATAAATTCTTTATAGTGACATAATTTGTTATAATCTAAGAATAAAAGATTATACACCTAAATTAAGTCCTAATCATAAGTCTGTCTTAAAAGTGCTGCGGCAAATTTCTTTAGCAAAATCACATGTAATTTTTTTTATCACCGTAACATAATAAATAAAATAATTTTAATTCATGTATATATATCAAATTTTAATTAAACGTTGTTTAAAAAACTCTATTGGGTCTTATTTAAAACTTCTTTTAACTTTCTTTTATTAATCAAGAGACAGCTTATATTTTATCCAATAATTCAAACTATTTTAGTGCAGGTCTGCGTTCAAAACCTATGCTGAGGTCGGAGAGTGATTTGCAAATGAACAGAACAGAATATTCTGTGGTAAAATTGGCCAGCCTTCCTTGTCTATGGTCATCAAGGTATATACTTCTTAAGCTGGATTTGTTTTCCTCTATCGCGAGGTGTTGTGATGACTTCTAATGCGATCAGAAAAGATTCCGGCATCAGTCGTGGAGGCGAGGAGGCTTATAACAAAAACAATAAACTCTATATGACTAAAAACAAAACATGATTTTTAATGACCATTTAAATTAGAATTAAAAACATTGGTGCAAATGAGCCTAAGTTTTTGGTTTTTAAATAATTACAATAAATGAATTACCTTTGTCATTGACCAGTTGCTGGTTTTAGTCGACTGGAAACTCTCACCGAACGAGCAATCCCTTGTCTCTTCCTCCACATCCAACTTAACAAATGTCTCACTTATGAACGACTCGTTTTCTTTATTCATCTTGAACTTTGTCCGTTCCTCAAATATCCTCGTGATCTTAGTAGTCGACCGTCTATACGATTTACTTGTCAACGGTGATGAGTTCCTGTCGATCAATGGGGAATTCTTCAGCCTTTCTATAGTCGGTGAGTCTTTTGGTCTGAATATAGGTGAGCTCACGTTCTGTATTTCTCCTAGTATTCTGCGCTTTGATGGTGTGGCTATCGGTGAGGGTGATTTGTTGAAGTTCAGCGAGTGCGGGTTCATTTTAATCTTATAGTTTTGTGTGACAGCATCCTCCCGTTTGCGTTTTGTTGCGCTGTTGCCGGAGTTGATCTTGAAACTGTCAGTGATCAACCTGAAAAGAGATGGAGATACTGTTGTTAAAGATAAAGATACTTAATTTCATTACTGGTGGTGGAATTTCGGGGTAGTTTTGATAGGGGGCTTCCCTGGACTCCCCCCCCCCTCCCCCCCTAAAGAGTTTCGGCGGAAATGCAATGGAAAGCTGAGCCGAAAAGTGTCGTGCAATTATTTTAAGTTTAATGATTAAAGTACTTTAATAATGGTGTCGATTCTGGCAAGATTTTCTAAGCCTAAACTTAAATTTGACAACAGAGTATCCTTGTCATTCTCTATACAGAATGAAAAGGAGAGACTGATGTTAAATTTAGTTTTAAGTTTAGAGAATCATGACGGAATCAACACCATTACCTAGTTAAAATTTACTATTTTCATAATAATGAAATAGATAAAGAAGTATAGAAGTGCCATATTTCCTTAAATATCAATAAATTAAAAAAAAAAAAGTTTTAGTAAAGATCTTTTAAATTCAAAAAATTAAACTTAAAAAATCGACGCTACAGCTGCACGCCAATTTTTACTCAAAGCACATTCGTTTAAGAAACAAAATGTGTTACTAATCCTTTCCAAATAATTCAACTCTCAGGATAACAATATATTATCAACCCTTCATTTAAGGGTTCTAATATGACAATACGTAGCCTTTTTTTCTAAACTGGAAACGACGTAACCAATAGCTGGTCGTAAATAAATCGAAGAACTGGTTTGCCACGTAACTTCTTGCCCTTTCCCAAGACATTGTAGAATTCGGGACGTGTAGGAAACGACAATGGAACTTTGACATGAAAAAGGTTATGTACATGTACCGATATTTTTTCCGACACTAATTTCTCACGTGAATTTAATTGTTCACATCAAACTGTTGCACTATACGAAACATACAAGTTTACACTAAAAATGTAGCCAATTGAACACAGCAGAGTCGAACACATGATTTTAAAACAAGGTAGTCGCGAAACTATTGTCAGTGAATCGTCGTTTCGCGCTCTTTGGCTCCGCACATTTTCCTACGACCAATGACATTTTGCGTTTCGTTCACAAACGAACAATCAGCTGTTTGTCGATTTTGATAAAATTGATAATCTATAAATCAATACAAACAAATATTTATTCGTTATATTGATGATTAATTTAAACGAAATTGTTATTATAACAATTTTATTGCAACACTTTACTGAATTTCTTGATTACGATAGCTTCCGTTTGTAATTGATTACATTTAGAAGCAATTTACTTTATCCAATATGAATATTAATTATTATTAAAATACATATAGGTATATGAAATTGTTCTTTAGGTATTTTAGTACAAACTCGCAGTCAAAGCTGACAAAACAATTCTAATATCATTTAAAGTCACATGCTGCATTATACTCATTTAATCACAAAGAAAATTCAATTTAATATATTTATTGGTGCCAATTGGCGTGATTCTCTAAACTTAAAACTAAATTTAACTTCAGTCTCTCCTTTTCATTCTGTATAGAGAATGACAACGATGCACTGCTGTCAAATTTAAGTTTAGGTTTAGAGAATCATGCTAGAATCGACACCATTGTTTCACGTGGTAATTACAAGTTCTTAAGATTTAGTTTCAGATCCAAACATGAACCCTGTAAGGGCACTACAACATCAATAAACAAAAAATAAATAAAATACACATAATTATAATCAATCACAGTAAAATTTTAGATATAGACCTACTTGTAGGTACACTACTTTTCATCAAAAAACTCTTGCATACTATAGAAGGTTTTATTCAATAATATTGTTTCAAAATTTGTGCAAACTTTTTTACGATTTTTTTTTATATATAGAGGTAGGCAAATGACTCTACCCCACCTGATGTTAAGTGGTAATAAAACCAACCATCCTCACCTTGCCGGCCTGCAAAAATGTTTCTTCACAACGTTTTGTTCTACGGTTATATATTTAGGTAATTTGAAACAGCACATCACACTTAAAAAGTTAATTGACATTTCTGTGTGCGGTCGTTAGATAAGATGCAGTAAGTACATATTCTGATTTACTTTTCTACAAAATGGGGAGTAACAGATAGTCCCTTGTACTTACAATAGATAAGTAGGCAGTCGGATCTACAAAATCGGTTAGTTTAATCAATATTCAACACTTTTGTTGGAGATGGGGTAGGCACCGGGAGTCATTTATGAATAAATATGATTTAACGGTTACTCCTTGTTCAATAACCGTTTAGATTATGATAATGCATTTTGATTTAAGAGTTATTGCCATTAGTGAAACGTTATTCGAATGCAATATCAATGAAATATACATTTTCTTGAGGATTATAATATCGAAAGAACGACTGTTCCTTAACCTCCGCTGTCTGTCCGTTGGTCTGTTTATTTCTGTTATCTGTTGTCTGACAGTTTATTTCACAAATTTTAATATGTGGATCGTTGCAACTTTCACGGAATTTATTAGGCTACGGACTCGAAAGTCCATAAATTACATACGATAATTTTTTATATGTAACTAGCAAACCAGTGAACCAAATGTTCACCAAAAAAAAATGTATTTAATTAATTGAGAACTTCGGAGATTTTGTGTGGTTTCGTTTGAAATAGAAATCACGTTATTTCTCGAAAACCGGAAGTGCTACGTTACTCAAATCCGGTTTGTAGTCTTATCAGACTATTCTTAACTTATAACTTAAACATTCTCTTTATCTATCTCTTACGGTTTGGCCGCTGAAACAGCACCACGGACGGACGGACGGACGGACTTGTCTAATAGATAAGAGATTTTATATTATGCTCAATGAATGGAATAATTGTAATAATTATAAGTAGTAATTATGTTACTCCGTGATCATGGCGCTTGCAACAGTGCCGAAATATCGGAAACTCGCTAAAAACAAGGTACATGGTAACAATCCCATAAATAACTTATATTACTATAATGTTAGTGACCATGAAAGTTTAAAACAATATAATTGTAATAAGTTTTTTTTTCAGATGACAATTAATTTACACATCCGATTGGGTAAGAACATAGGATGCTATTTATCTCTGTATCACCATTTGTTACCATATTCTGCAAATAAAGATGATTATGATTATTATGACTATATCTTTTGAACTATTTTAATAGCATTTGTCCGTACTAAAATATGAAATTGCTAAACTCATTTCCAAAATACACATAAATCTCACTAAACAAGTGCTTAGATTATTTTTGTTTTTTTTTTTACAATAATAAAGCAAAAACAAAACGCGAAACTTTTTTTTTACATGTCAACGCAGCCATTTTTCGCCGTTCCTCCAGGGGTGAACGCCATCACGACGGTAAACTATTGAATTCTTTCCCTCCACAATGGATGCAGTATTCGTTGCATTGCAACGTCTTAAGGGTGCGAGTTTTTTTTTAATAACTTTAACGGCATCGGTTTAAAGGGGACGCGTGAGTTCTATACGAAAAGTTGATATGCCCTTTTTAACGGTAAAACTTGTTATGCAGTGATTCCCTTGAGCCGATAAGGATACATTGAAGACCTCCATAGCGTAGTGGCAAAAGTGGATGCTAAATCACCTTGCCGGCCTGAACCCATTTTGCTAATAATTTAAGGTGTCAGGGTCTCAGAAGTGTCCGTCAATAATCTTTGTTTTTACAGTCATTTACTTGCGATTTCGAACCTAGAAAATAATATTTCATGATTGTTGGTTCTTAGGCTAAGTATGTATGGACACAGAACAATGTCCTTTGGGATATATCTGGCATTGCTAGCGATTATAAGTAAGGCTGGCATACGCCTGTTTGTCAGCCATTTTACTTTCATCCTATTACGTGCAGCTCGAAACCTTACTCAACGACAGAAATAACACAACCTAGGCCTTACGTAAATGAAAATGCCCCCTAACTAGGCTTGCCAGATGGCCAAGAAATCCGGGATTGTCCCGGAATTTTGCGTCTTGCCCCGTGTCCGCACTGAAAGCATATCACGGATATGTAGCCTCGATCATAAGGTACGGCATAGTTAGTATATAGTATGGGGTAATTCTGTAAAAATTAAAACAAAAACAATGCATTAGATCTATTGCTAATGTTGATTCTTGGGTTTCTTGCAGGCCTTTGGCATTGTCCTAATACAACGCGATAACGCGATCATCGCGCGTTTAAACGATGCGACCATCGCGTGATCGCGAACTGGGTGTCCTAATAGAACGCGAATACGGAACGGGTTAGCCCTGCCCCTCTCCCCGCTTCCTATCGACGCGACGCGATCATCGCGCGAACTTCAGTTAGGACACCTATTCATCATTAATAGGTTTGATTGCGCGTTCGCGCGAACTAAGTTAGCGCGAATAGATATTTAAACATTTTAGTCGCGCGAATGCATCGCGCGATCGCCTATTAGGAAACCTATTCTAGATCAATATGTTTGATCGTCGACTCGTACGATGATCGCATCGATCATTCGCGTTATCGCGTTGTATTAGGACAATGCCTTTGTTCAAGTCTTATAAGTTGTTGACAGCTCCGTGTATTTATATTTTTGAAATATGTATCTTTGTCAAAATGCACGTTGCATGCATAACTAGACCATATTGTCCCAGATAGTTTCCTAACAAAATAGCCTGCTTGATTTTTTAATTCGGGGGAGTGTGATAGGTTTGATCCTTTATTTTTTTAGGGGCGGGGGAGCAAATGTCCCGGAATTGATAAGCCAGCAATTGGAAACCCTACCACTAACACAATGGCCAAATGGATATTTAGAATAAATAATAAATTGATACATTATGCAATAAGGCAGTATGAAACTGCAGAGCCGTAGCCACACCGCAATAAATACGACAAGGACAAAGCAATTACAATTATAGACACAGAGCCACTTATATCAATGTTACAATTAATTATAGTAATAGTCCGTTCATATAACGTTTACGATATTTAAAAAGAATTTAAAAAGGTTCATTCTCCCGATCTTTAATGCTGCTTCCACACGCGTAGCGGACAGACAGCCAACGCAAACATG